AAGACCTTCTTGCCAGCCTTCTTGTTGATGCGGTGGGGCAGCGGGAACTTGAGGTTCTTGGTAAGGAGCTGCTTGATGTATGGTCGGCGGATGTCGTCGGCCTTCTCGACCTCAACGACCTTGAGAATCTAAACAAGATGTAAGTGGACTGACGAGCACGGTAGAGTTGGTCCAATCTTACCTGAACCTGCCTGAAACGCGATCGGTGACGGGCGGCCATGTCCTGGTAGAGGGCATCGACAGCGGCGACGCGGGACATCTCGCGGTACTCCTTGTACATGTTGTGGGTGCCGGAGCGCGAGTCGTACTTGAGCCAGATACCGAAGTTCTTGACCTTCTGGGGCTTCTTCTCGTGGATCTAGACAAGTCAGTCTCTGACATTCTTACTTGGTGTATTGTCCGACGTACCTGGTTTACGGAGACGATCTCACCGTTGGCCTTCTTGATCTTGCGGAGCTTGCCAAGGAAGTACCAGAACCGTGACTTGGCGACAACCTCGTTGGGCGCAAAGATGCGCATGCGGTAGATCTTAGGCGCGGGGTTGGCCTCTGAAGGCAGATGGCGGCCGATAATCTGGTATTCCTGGAAGCGTGCTGAAGCATCGTCAGTACTGCTTCAACCAAAGATAGTGCCCCCATTCCAGCAATTGCAGCAGCCGTGGTCGGAGAGTTCGGGTGGGTTAGGCTGATCGAGTGCGGTCGTGTTGGAATTTGTCGCATGCGAACGATTTCGCGTGCATTCGCTGCCATAGTCATGACTGTTGGGTGCCGTCAAACCGCCCATGGTGCCTGCACACACTACTGCTGCCCCTTCCCAGTCGATCTCAAACTCGTGCTGTCGTGTGTCGTCATGGCGAGAGGCGTTCAAGGTCGCGCTGGCCTTGTTCGAAAATTCCATCGGCTGCGATTGCTGGACGGGACCGTCTTGCGGAGAAGAAAAAATTGCTTACCCATCTGCGAATGGTTAGCAAGCGATGTTGGCATGAGCTGGCGACGTCGACTGACCTTGATTGTGCTGTGAGGTTAGTACCTTGGGTTGAGAAGTTCAGTCAGGTCGTCTCTATCGTGGACACACAAGCGAATTCGACACCAGCTTGTGGGCGCTAGCTGAGCAGGGACCCACAACAACTTGGCGGCAGGCGCGAGGGTCGTCGGCGAACAAACAGCCCAAACACCGACATGCCAACACCAAGAGCATCATCCAACACGCACCAGCTGGTTTACCGCAAACATAGTCTGCAACATGTCCGAGGGTTAAGTACACCAGCTGAAGTCGCGAAACCCTTCTGACCAACGCGACAATCGACGTTTGATTTCTGCACTCGTACGCCCACGCACGACCATGCAAGCCGCACTTGAGCCTTTCCACGAGGCATATGCCAGTGGTCTGGCGCAACCCGTCGCAGACTTCCTCAGTCCAGTTGCTCCTGCACATGATCCCGGCCGGTTGTACGACTTCTACCGCGCTTCCAGCGACGACAAGATTGAAGGCGATGTTCGATATGCGCTCAAATACAACAAGAACACACGCATGACCAACAAGGAGGCTGGCGCGTGGATTGACATCATTGCTGCTTACTGGCGCGCTGTCAGAGACATTATCAAGACTGACGAAGCAGCGAACCAAGGCAGGCTCAATGCGAATCACTACGTGGCTGTGTACGATGCTTGGAAGGACTTGACAAGCAGCTTCATCAAGCACATCAACGCTGGACTGCTTCCACCATGGGCCATCTTCACCCTATACTTCACTGCGAATCATCTTAGGAAGATAGCAATCAGAGCGGACGAGCAGTTGGCCATGTCGAAACCAGCAACTCTGAATACAGGTTACTCGGACGATATCGTAAGCACAGCCCCGCAGAATCAGAAGCTTGAAGAAGCTGCGCGAGTCTTCAACAGGATATTTGCTCTTTGTCTTGGTGACAGGAACCCAGACATGTCAGAATCGCGAAAGTGGGGTGTATACTGCATAGCCAACCTTCAGTTTAAGACGTACTTCAAGGTAAGACATGTCCCAGTCTGCATTGCGTGACAATCGCTAACACGTATGCAACTAGTTAAAAGCCATCAGCCTGTCTAAAAACGTTGTGCGATCCATTGAAGCACAGTCTGATTTACCTACATTCGAACTGTACCCGCGAGCGCATAGAGTCACATACAGGTATTATCTGGGAGTACTAGCATTCCTACAGGAGGATTATGCCAAAGCGGAAAGCAGCTTGCAACAAGCATGGGAATCTTGCTGGTCGAAGTCGCAAAAGAACAAATCGTGAGTTTGAACAATCTAACGCGGGTAGTCACGAAGCTAAAGACACAGGCTCATTCTTACATACCTCATACCCTGTCGCCTGATCACCCAACACAAGATTCCTACGGCTAGTCTTCTCGCTGAGGCGCCTCGTCTAGAACGCATCTTTGGCCCCCTCGTATCATGCATAAAGCGAGGCGACCTCACAGGCTTTGACAATGCCCTAGCGGATGGCGAGCCCGAGTTTGTCAGACGGCGCATCTTCCTCACTCTAGAGCGAAGCCGGGACATCGCCTTGCGCAACCTTCTCCGAAAGGTCTACCTAGCTGGTGGCTTCGACGATCTCAAGGAAGGACAAACGGAGAAGGACCGGATACGGAAGTCGCGAGTACCACTAGCGAACTTTGCCGCCGCACTCAGGATGGGCATTGCAGGCGAAGGCAGCGGCCAAGCCGTTGAGGACGATGAGGTTGAATGCTTGTTGGCAAACCAGATCTACAAGGTGCGCATACCATGTCTGCAATGTTGGGCTCTACTCCACATTTCTGCAGGTCTTATCCAGTGTCGAGGCAACCCTGTCACATAGACCACATCCTATCTTGAACCCGCTTGGCTAACCCAGATTACAGGGTCTCATGAAGGGGTATATCTCGCGCGAACACGGCATGGTAGTGATGAACAAGAAGGGCGCATTTCCAGGGACAGGGGTCTGATGCCTAAACACATTTTCGTACTGGATATCCCCTACAGGACTCAAACCAACAATCAATCGTGGTTGCATACCGCGACACGTCACTATCCAAGTTGGGAACGCGCATACACGTTTGCCTGTGCGAGAGGCCTCAATGCGCACATCACGCCATGACGTACCACACCATCGCGGCAAAAAAAAAAACTCATCAAGAGCACCAATTCAATACAAGCTACCGATGTACCTCAAACTCTGCTACCCTGGTAGTTCCTGTATCTGACCTAAACCCTCGCTTGCACGGTTCGTGAGACAAGCCGGCTCTTCGTGCGCGGCCAGTCACTGTTATAGGAACCACAAGCCGCGTTCCCGCACAGACATGCTGTCGCCCTATCAGCTGATATCGCGTTGCAGACCCCGCCCACACCCAACGCCAGTCCGCCCTAGTAATCGTCGCGCCATTTGTGCTACCTGCCCGACGCGACCCAAGGCGACTTTTCGCTGTCATCCCCGCTTCAGCGTGCAGCGATGGTGGTTCTTGGCGCATGTGGATGTCGGCAGAGGTACTATGACTGTACCTACCGACAGTATCGGTACCACGCCTCGCCGTATGAAAGTGTGGGTAAGCTTCCAAGGAGAGGAGTCAGCGGAAAAAGATCGTCGGTGTTCCCTCGGGTATGCAGGTTATCGTGTTCCTCCTTGCCTCAACGATGCACCTGGTCCTCCTCCATCCATGTTACTCCGTCTTCGGGCACCGTTATCATTTACCTAGACATTGCATGCCGTTTCCCATTCCGTTGGTATGGTTGCTGCCTGACTGGCGTAGTGAACAGCGTTTCCTGATCCCATGCACCCCAGCTCATAGCTCATTGCTCGCTTTGCGCTCCTCGCTTCCTGCTCCTTGTTGCTGTTTGCAGCCCGCATGTTTTACTTCTATTATAGCGGCGTATCAAGGCTGCATGTGCTTCATTCCACCTAGAGCGACTCGACAATTTGTCTTATCCCGCGGATCAGATTGTGCGCTACTTTGCTAGCAATATTGCCTTTTGTCTTGCTGTTCTTCTTGTGGTTCTGGTGGTACTTGCGATACTGTTTGGGCACTTTCTTCCCGCCGGCGCGTTTTGCACTGATGCCTTGGACGGAGTGCGGGGGTGGGCGCTCCATTGTTATGTGCTAGAGTGTTTCCGGTCGTGTTGTGTGGTTTATGGTATAATAAGCAAATATTCGGCGAATTATGTCTGTATATGTGTCTTCGAAATGATCATGGGTCTGTTGCACACCTACACTTGTGCTCTATGATACTGTCGGCTTCAATACACCAGATATCTTCCCAAGTTATATATCTACGGTCTGTCAAAGTGTGAATGAATGTTGATGCCGAGTTGCCGGCCAATGATATCAGCCAAGCGAGGGTGGAGACAAAGGAGGGCTGAGTATCAAGCGTTGGAACATAGAGTGGGAGGCCTAACGAACTGCTGCGCCATATCACATTGTTGAACGAAGACTTTGTATTGGTATTCCGATGTCTGAGTTTCATTCGTTGTGTTACCAAATGCTATCATTAATTGGGTTGAACATGTTATGAGATCGACGACCATATCTTGTTACAATTTGGTGCAGCCCTGCTGCAGAATAGATACCCCAGACCTGAAATATAGAGACTAAGAGGAAGATGAATGCAGAAAAATCGAGTGACAATGGTCGCCCACGATAGTTTTGTGTCTTGAGATGCAAGGAGAGAGTCAAACCGATGCGACGAAGGCCTGCATATCGAGGCAACTTTAAGGCCAACGCAGAAGGCGCGAAAATCAAATAAAACCCAACCTAGGCAAAGAGCAAAGTATAGTAGTACAACAGTGGCGTAAGTGAGTGCCAGAAGGGTATGTTCAAATTGTAACGCCGTGCAGGATCAAGACCGTAACCGAAGAAGAGCCCAGTAAAGAGATGAGGCATAGCCGCGAGGCTCAAACGGAAAGTGTATATACAAGAAGAGCAAGGAAAGACAGACAAGTGAAATCATTAGTCGGATCCAAGGAAGTGAGGCAGCTGTAAGCGGAAAGCTTCAGCGGATTGAAGGTGACGACAGATCGTCCATGTGGTTAACCATGGCAACGAACAAGTCGAAGAAGAGCTTGCCGCCGTTCTCCATCTCGTTCTGCATGGTGCCGCTACGCTTGAAGGTGTGTCTGGCTCGGATGATGAGCGCGAGGTAGTGTGCACGGAGCTTCGAATCGTTGTCAGGAGTGTTGGCGTAGGCATAACGGGCAGATGTCAGGATAGTCGAGCACTGGATGCCTGACTGGAGACCTTGCTTCTTCAACGCAAGCTTTTTTAGTTCTTGCAACCCATACTTGTCAGCTTGACAGTAGATGACGGTATCTTTCAGTATCGGTCCGACCGAGGACTGGACGACAGCTTCATGTGTATTGTTGGTATTGCCGCCATCTTCAAGATTCCAGCTGTTTCGTTTCTTGTCGTACTCCATGCGCGGGTAGTAGTCACCCTTGTAGAGATACTCAAGAATCGATGAGAAGACTTCGGGTTCTTCGTCAGGTAAATCGATGCGCTTGTTGGTAGTCTGAAAGAACTGGCCGCTACAGAGGGTTTGAAACCAAGGAGAGTGAGATAGAACATCTTCGTGCGCTGCGAAGAGCCGCTGTTCGCGGCCAACGGATATGGTGATGATAGCACTGATGGAAAAATTAGCAAAGTCGCTTGGGTTGGTCGAGAATGGATGTACTCACCTTCCTAGCGACGGCGATGTTTGATTTGATTGCGGTGACGATGCCTGGGCATGTTGTGCTAGTCTCTCTACTCTCCTCGGCGAATCCCTGAACGAGGGGTTCTTCTTGTGTGATTTAGACTTGGTTGCGCGATGTTTCGAAAAGCTGCCTTCCTGGTGACGTGTGCGGTTTGATGAGAACATGATGAGATATGAAGAGTGCGGTACTGTGCGGAGAGATGTTGTTGATACTTATATGTGCAGTGTGTAGGCAGCAAGCATACGAAACTGAGTAGGCAAGTAGACGACTCGAAAAGAACCTTAGGCAGATACGTCGTAGGGCAAATGAGACAGTAGCACGCAAGTACTAGGCGACTGCAGCCGTGTATATATACCTGACTCCTCACAGGAGGCCACTATCTGGCCCTCGGCCAGGGTGAGGGTGAATGGCGACGCGGATTGGACGCGTCCACAGGCCTAACACGTAAACGCGATATCACATGTTCCGCTTTTCCTTTTCCAGAGTTAAGAGTCAGGACGGCTGAGCCCCCGGACCTAGACCAAGTAACACTTGTGCAAGGTTGTGAAACAAGGGCGGGAACAAAGAAGGCTGATAGCGCTAGTTGGGCGCCGGTGGGTTGGCGTGGTCCTCGAACCGCAAGCAACTAGACATGTTAGAGAGGAGCCAGCGAGAGTTGAGGATCAATACTCGCGATGTCTCATCCCATGATTCTGCTAGAGAGATGCGACGAGCATCACCAGCCTCGGCGACATGATGAGATGACTGGTCGCAATCTTTGCGCAGGGCTTAATGCCTGCAGCTCGCAGCTTGCGTCGGGAAGGTGAACGCTTTGGCCAGGCACCCAAGAAAGTTTGAGGAAAAGCAATCGACGCCGCCGCCGTGCAACAGCCAGCATCGGCTCATCGCTTGCGTCTGCGAATCAATGAAAGGCGGCCGTCCACCGGAGGCCCTCTCTAGAGCCCGTTTTCCGTTCCCCTGAGGGGCAAATTTCGCGTTGAAGGACCGAAACCTAGTCAGAAAGGCGTGGCGCGAGACTATGATCCGGTTCCGCGCAATAATGGGATTCGCGGCTGGCAAAAGCGAGGTCAGCGACCATGACACGGTGCCTGGTGCCGTGAAATTGTGCATCGCTGATCAATAACCCTCAGACGCGAGGGGTGTATGAGTGGAGCGCGTTCAGGCATTCACGATGAAATCGCCCCCTCGACGCGTCCTCACGTGTTCCACTCAAGCCCGCATCTGGTTTGGCGCATGACGCTACCAGGGAACCCAACGGCTCTGCAGTTTCACCACGTCCGCAACCATCATCATGGACGGCAGCAGCACCTAGAATAATTTGTCGCATCGTTGTGACGTATCGGATATGCAGCAGAGCTCGCCCCCTTATTATGCTGCTCTCAATCCTCGGTGGCGTAGTTTCTTGCTTTGAGCCGGTCTTTTTTGTCAGCTTTCACGAACGCTGGCAGACACTGCATCGTCAACCAGGTCATCATACACCAAAATTAGCTGCCAGTTAGATAAGTTGTTTTTGATTCTGTCCATTTTCAAGCCCGTCTGCCTTCAGATCGATCGCACCATATTCCAACAGCGCATACAACACTTCTGGGCGGTGCGAACTCAGTATGGATAGGCCTCGGGTTCTGCCGCGATCCGCTCGTCTGTCAGCATTTGCTCTCCATCTATTTACTCCGTTGTCTTTTTCGACATGGAATGATGGGCAAGCATGGGGAATGTCGCTCTTTTAACCAATTGACTGGAATGCCAAGGACCTTTCCTGGAGACCAGCCAAGCTCGTATGTTCACTCAAACATCACATTTCTTTCGACCAAAGAAAGCACTCACCACACTTGTTGAGCCATTTGGGGCCTTTTTCGGATGCGATATACGTCTTATACCGGACTGATGAATCGTGTCTGTTCGTTGCTTCCTTGGTTCTATCTCAAACAGGCGTTGTGTCACACAATTCGCAAGATATATTAGATTCCTTGTCAGCATGTACTCCTAACAAGCGCCATGCGTCTTCTTAGACGCCAGCACTATCGAAGAACTTGCTGCGCTGGGTGACACATGGGATATCGCGCTTCCCTTCCTGGCCGACTCCCTGTAGTGTTGCGACGCAGGTGACGAAGTCCACCATCTTCAATATACTGGCCCACAATCAATGTTGATGTGTTGCGGTTTCATTCAAGAGTACTCGAGCTTGGCAAATGCCGCTTGCGCCCGGCAGAATCCCACCGACCGCCAGGGGTGCCATAGCCGGTATTACACGTCCGATATTGTCCAGTAGGGGCTCTTTTGTTCGTAAGAAATGAATAATGACGACGATCTTCGCCACTGGTACTTGCACACAGCTGCAACTGACTACGAGAAACAGACTCTTTGGCTTGATCAATGGGTTCCAGATGGCAGCATTCACTTTAATTGTATAGAAGTGACCGGATACTATGACACTTTGGACCGCCACAGTGTAGGAGCTTTTCTTCGTAGCTCATCTTCACGGAGAATGTGAGCTCGGGATGAATTGGAGCTGAGATCATGACCCCAGTTCCGCGCTGTGCGTTGCATACGCAAGTATGCTGACTGCCTTGTCTGGACTGCCGCTCAGCAGCGCGGCCAGATGCAACTCAAGCCTTGGAGTCTCTCAGAGATTGATACCAAGACACTCGGGACCTTCATGGATGTCGCGCTGCAGATCTCATGAACTGAACTGGAAAACTCGTGAGATCTATGATAAAGATGGCGGACTATCCTTACCTCAACGGTGTTTTTTAGGTGCATGTGTCGAATGTCAAGAGTGCTCCTTGCAAGGAACCTTTGGAAGATCACGCCCCACACCGGGCAACACGTTGGGCAGCCATCTAATTAGATGACCCAGCAAGTGCAGTAGTATTGCAGTCACTACCATCCTGCATTGGAGAGGGAAGCTGGCCATGTGTACTGAGTATAAGAACTCTGGAGATCTGCACTCAGCTGAATCGTCACAGCTTGATCAATGGCTGGCACCGCGGTTGTCAAGGCCCTTGTGGCATCTTTGCTTCTGGGTTCAGGCGCTTCAGCGTCTCCTTTGGTTAAGAGACAAACCACGCTCACGCTTGATGGTGTACAGGAGCAGGCCCTTGCTAACGCGTACAAGGTACTGGATGGGACTCTATCGGATGGCTTGAACAGGTCCACATCATGTAACAAAGACACTGTTGCTGTACGCAAAGAATTGTAAGTACTTCTGGAAATGATTCGACGTACGCGTTAACACATGATAGCGGCGACCTCACTAAAGAGGAGCGGAAGGCATATACAACAGCCGTAAATTGTATTTTAAAGGCTCCATCCAAGCTTCCTGCCGGTCAATACCCGGGCGCAAAGTCTCGCTACGATGATTTTGTGGTCGTCCACATGAACATGACGCCATCCGTTCATGCCACCGCAAACTTCATGCACTGGCATCGCTACTACATATGGGCGTATGAAACAGCGCTTCGCACGGAATGCGGCTACGAAGGCTACCAGTATGTGTCAATCTACAAGGTTTATGCGAAGTGAACACTAACCTAATATCACCTATCACAGGCCCTACTGGAACTGGGCAAAGTACAAGGATTTAGTCAACAGCCCCATCTTCAACGGCGATGAGTGGAGCATGGGTGGCAACGGCGATCCAATTGGCCCACACGCTGGCATGAGTGTAGGACCGGGACAAACGCTTCCAGGCGGTCCAGGCGGTGGTTGCATATCTGAAGGTCCTTTTACCAACCTGACAATCCGTCTCGGTCCCATAGCATCCACCATGGACCCCAAGCTGAACATTAAGCCCAATCCGCGTGCTGATGGCTTCGGTGACAATCCTCGCTGCCACCGGCGTGACGTGAGTAACTTCTTCACAGAAAGTTACTTGCGGCCTCAGGACCTCCTATCCCACATCACCAGCAACAAAGCCATCGGCACCTTTCAAGATTCTCTCCAGGCCAGCAATACCAACAACCTTGCTGTGCTTCACATTGCTGGTCATTTCAGCATATGGGGCGACCCTGGCGGTGATGTGTACGTGAGCCCTGCTGAACCAGCCTTCTGGCTGCACCACAGCCAGCTCGATAGACACTGGTGGATGTGGGCCATGTATCAGGAGAAGGAGATCAAGTCTCGGACGAGTATGTACGAAGGCGGCACCCATTGGCTGATACCCAACAGCCCTAGAGGCAAATCGACGGATGAGCAGGAGCTGAACGTTGCAGCTCCACCGGGTAAGAATCATCTTGAAAGCAATCAGTTCTTTTCCACCACAGCAGGGCCGCTATGCTATGTATATGCTTAAATAAATTGAAGACCTCACTCGCATGTCTGAAAAACTTGCCCATTTAGCTATCATGTGCTGATCAGCATTGCGTCTTATTATAATTTGATTCTGTTTTCGCACCATTTCTGCGCTTTTGTACAGGTCCAGGTGCCGTTTTGGTGTTTCCAATATCTAGATCTGCCCTTGGCTGCTATTATCAGTCCCGAGAGCGATACCTCCCACCTTGACCATCTTCGAGAGACGGGATACTCTTGCCTCTCTTTCTCAATCGAGAAGGTAAAGGAAAGCGTTATTCATCCCAACTTTACGGTGGAAAGAATACTTGCTGGCTAAATGTCCAGATATTCACTCGTCGCGTACGCAGACACACGTGATGACGGGATTCTAGCGCGACGCGCTACCGGTAGATCATCCAGTTTGAGAAGCGACGGATGACATCGGTGGTCTTGTTTCACCCACCCACCCACCACCCCGCCACATCGAGAACTGCCGGTACCAATGCATCAACAGTCACGAAGATGGCGACCCCGCAAGCGAAACGTCGCCGGCTAAATGAAGCCACCAAGACGCTCCAGAAGCCGTTCAAATCGCCGTTCCGCACGCCCTTGAAGCCTAGCATAGGAGACGATCCGCCATCCTCAGATCCGCCTGAGCTACACACTCCTGCCCGCAAGGTCTCGGAGACAAACATCAACACTGCCAGGAATATCGCTCCTACGAGCCATTATGCACAGCACTCAACCACCGCTGAGCCATCTACACGGCCACTGCCAACGCCGGCAACGTCCAAGGTGACAGCACGTGTCTCGAAAACTTTCGTCTCACGGCCAAACACGACCACACCTTTGCGGCCCGCTTCAAAGAAGACAGCATCGAAACCCTCAGTCGCACGCGAGATCATGCAACTCCGCAATGAGATCCAGATGCTTACACAAGCTCAGACACTCGCTACCTCTACAAAAGACGACGATTTGGTTATGCTAATAGATAAATGGCGCACAGCGAGTCGTGCAGCTGCCGAAGAGTTGTTTGGAAGTACTCGAGACAGAGTCAATAGAATGGGCGGGGTAGGCGCGTGGAAGGAACGTGAGAAGGAATCAAAGGAACGGCAGATGCAATGGGATAAGGAAGAGATGGAGGCAGAGCGAGAGAAGATGGAAAAAGCCAAAGAGAGTGGAGATGTCTCGGAAGAAGAGTATGATCGGTATGCTGAGATGGACTCGGAGAGAGAGAAAGGAGATGAGGAGAAGGAGACGTTCAAGTGCGCAGACGACGATGTGAGTACACCGAGACAGTTGTGAATCTATTATCACTGACAGGGAGCCAGTCTTTTACGATGGACATGATGCTCAAGACACTCAACATCGACCTCAAGCTCATCGGTTACAACAAGGAAGCGCAAAGGTGGGATGGATAACATTGAAGAATTAAGAGCACCATCCGGTGTATTCTCGGCTCATACCTCGAGTTTGACAGACCCCACCTATACAAGACTTGAACTTGCCATGTCCATGGAACGGACATAGGCATCACGATAGAACTACACGATACAAACTGTAGGTCATTTTTCACAGCTGTTTTTGTGCGGAGTAACTTACTATGTCAGGATGAATGTTCATGGCGATACCCTTACCAGCGACGGAGTTTATCAACACCTAATGCAGATCTTTACGAATGTTGAACGATGCCATGCCTGTGACGTCATTCTTGCTCCACACAGTACTACTACACTACTAGCATTACTAATGTTCACGCGCTACGACGGCCATCGTGTTTCTCCAGGCACTCTTGATAACCCAATTCCCAACCTTCCATACCAATCCAATCATTTTCCTAAACAACCTATCCGTCCCAGATTCCCACTCCATCACCAGCCATGTCACTCAAGGGCCAAACCGTCCTCATCACAGGTGCATCAATGGGCATCGGCGCAGCCATAGCCCAGCGTCTAGCCGCCGAAGACGCAACACTCATCCTCTTCGCCCGCTCAGGCGACAAGCTAAAAGCCTTGTCTGACTCTCTCAAAGCCAAGCACTCCAACCTAAAGATATTCCTATCCGTCGTCGACGTCCAAGACCACACCTCCCTCAGCACTGCCATCTCACATATAGTCCAACAAGTCTCACACATTGACGTTTTGATCAACAACGCTGGTCTTGCCATCGGTGCGCCCTCCAAGTTCCCCGACCTCCAAATACAGGACATCATTACTATGACGAACACTAATATCAATGGGTACATGTTTGCTGCGTACGCTGCACTAAATGAGGGAAAGATGAAAGAGAGGGGCAAGGGCACGATTCTCAATGTCACTAGTACAACGGGGTTGGAGGTACCGCCATTCCCGGGCGAGGCAGTGTATCATGCTAGTAAAGCTTGTCAGGAGGCTTTTACCAATGTGCTAAGGACGGAGTTGGTGGGCACGGATATCAAGGTGCTTGCGTTACGACCAGGGGTTGTGGCGACGAATTTTCATGAACAGCGGTATGTCGTACATCTCTTCTCGTACATGGTGTGGATCTCGTACATGCCGTTTCCGTGCTCTCCCACTTTGGTCCTGCGGTGGAACTTTGAACTGACAAGGAATTTAGCGTTGGGTACGACAAGGAGAGCTATGACACTTTCATGACCGGCTTCGAGCCTCTCGTTGCTCCTGACGTTGCGGAAGCGGCTGCTTTCATGCTAAGCCAGAAAGATCGGGTTAGCGTGAAAGCGTTGGATGTAGTGCCTACTGCACAGCGCAGTTTACAGGTGTTTGATCGGGAGTGGAATAGTAGAGACAAGGCGAGGAGCGAGGAGACGATGAAAAATTGAAAAAGCGTGAGACGGGCGACGGGTATCATTAAGCAGGTTCAAGCTGGATACAATATGTCTAGAGCTTCATAGGTGAATGACACTTGTATAGAGACGCTACATAAGTACCGAGACATAAAAGAGGTGTGAACCTCCTATATTGGTGAACATGACACACCACAATTCGCTATCACCGTACGTGAGAAATGTACATCAGTTCGTATCACATAACACCACCACCACTTCTCCCAGAAATGCCCCTCATAGATGTAGCAAAGCCAGATCGCTGCAAATTCATCACAGCTTCTCTGCATCGTTGATGCCACCGTTTGTGATGATATATGTTGCTTCCTTCTCCGGCATGTCTAAAGCGGTGCGTTAGCAGATATATGATCAAATAGCGATGCATGCTGACATACCAGGAGAGTCTTGGATCTTAGCAACACGCTCTTCACCTCGACCCTTGCGAAGCAAGACCCTTGTGGCAGAAGCGTGCGCGAGGATGTGACCACCGATGGGCTTGCGACCATCTGCACTAGCGAAGAGAGCGCTCGCTCCAGGATCACTCTGAACTTGGTTTGTCAGGAGCACGGCAACGTTGAACTCTATGCACTATTAGGTTGAATCAGAAACATGAGGGAATCTTTGGAGTACCTTCAGCAACATGCGTTAGCTTCGAGAGGAACTGGTTGAGCTTTTGCTGCCGCTCATTGAGCTCACCACGGCCCGTATAGTCGACACGAAAAAGAGCCATGATACTGTCGATGATGAGTAGGCGGTACTCATTGCTGACAAAGAACTCTGCGACTTTGTTAAGAAGTTCCATCTGATGCTCCGAGTTCACAGCACGCGCATAAGTGATGTTGTCTTGAGCTGAAGATTGTCAGTAGAGATATCAGTGGGAGTAAAATGATACAAACCAGTCTCGGGGTCTACACCGAATCGCTCTGCGATCTGGGCTATCCTCTCTGGTCGAAATGTTCCTTCAGTATCTGAGTAGATGTAAGACGAGTTCAAAGGCAGCGAAGTTCGACATACCAATGTAGGCTACCTTGCCTTCCGCACCACCCATGTCCCTCGGTAGTTGTGCGATGACAGACATGGTATGTGACAACTGGGTCTTCCCGCAGCGGAACTCTCCAAAGACCTCGCTGATACTCATCGTCTGGAAGCCACTATGTATCGTGAGCATCGATGTTTGGAACATAGGCTGACACAGACACTCACCCTCCGAGCACGGCATCGAGCGCCTTACTGCCAGTAGAAATCTTGATGACACGCTTTCGCAAATGTCCGAGTTCATGAGCAGTCTGAAAGCCTCCCCCAGAAGGCTGTGCTGCGAGTCAGAGATCGACACTTGAGTGTGAAAGTGGACGTAGTGATGTACCTGGCACTTTGCGATGGCATCCTTGACTTTGTCGACCTTGATTTCACTGAAGCCCTTGATCTTTAGTAGATTGGGACGAGTAGCCGAATGCACTGATGCGATTGTATAGTAGCCATTTGACTTCAGCTTCGAGATATCGACAGCACCGATACCGTGCGCCTGGATCGCATCGATATCAACGATGAAACCGTCCTGTGTATGTTCAGTCAGTTTGCATCTCATCTCAGTGAGAGGAAGTCACTCACGTCATTGTTCGAGTCGTCACTCACAACCGAAGAAGCGCCCATAGTAGGTCGTGATGGTAAATGGCTAGGTATAAGACGAAAGGGAGCGATACCAGGGAGAGTACGAGTGCTGCGTGTGTGAGGGACAAAGGTGGGAATGAGGGAGAGATGGTGGAAGAAGAAAGAATGGGAAAGTCTGCGAAAGGCGAGACAGCGGAAGAAGGCACGATGAACGGGGGCGCTGAGGTCTGTTCCGTCTGTGTAACACTGAGGAGGGAAGGCGCGGCCACCACCATCAACACGACCGCCTCGCAACGAGGAAAGAGGAACACACGTGCATCTTAGAAATGATGAGCTCAGTCCGATTGAATCGACTATGAGAGGGAACGAGTTGACCGCTTGAAAACTGCAACTGAGCAATGTCAGATCCAATGATGGGAATACCGGTGATGACAGCCGGTTCCTCCACTCGCCAACGTCCAGGCAGTACAAGGCAGCCGTGGCCAACACTGAACTGATGAGTACTGTAACAGCTCTCGGAATCGTGCAGTCGAGTGGGCTGTAGATGGTACTCTAGTCAGTGAAGATGAAATGGGTCTCGGAAGTCAGATACTGATGTGTCTGCATATATTCGAAATAGATGATACAATCTAAATCCAAGCTATGCAAGCACAGTCATGTATGAAGATAATGATAACAGACAGATACACCGACCCAGCTCCCGACATACACACACAGTCTCCTTCACTCTTCCTCGTCCATACTACCTCCATCCCCTGGGAACAAGCTTTCGCACCAAACCACCACAGCGCCTTCCAGCTCCATAGACGAGCCTAGTTTATCCAAGCACATTCGCACTGGTAACTCTTCTGCCGAAGAAACTACCAAGCCAAATCGCTTGTATAAAAACAGGTCGCCATCCAAATCGCCAAGCCGTCGTCTGTCGAAATAATGGTAGAATGGTTGAAGTAAGGGATATAACGTTCGTGGGGTATCAGTATAAGAATCGTGAAGAACTTTTCTCATATCCATTGATGACTCGTGAATGCGTGAGATATGCCGAAATGATGCTGAGATTGGCTAGGGAAATGATCGTGATGAAATGGTAAACCTAATGAAAGACATGGTAGTGCATGTCATAGGGGCCAGTACTCGCCACAATATTACTCATGGTGAGACTTGGGCATAGCTTGAAGTCGCCTAGGCGACAGCAGCGGTGGGAGCAGCGGCCGGGACGGGAGCAGCAGCAGCAGCAGCAGCAGCAGCAGCAGGCGCGGCAGCAGCGTCGCCATTGACCTCAGCCTGAGTGCAGTCGCGGGAAATGTGGCCGGTCTCACCGCAACGGTAGCAAGTCTTGCCAGCAGTGTTCAAGGGGCCGCCGTTGGGGGCGGTGCAGTCGCGGGAGATGTGGCCTAGTTGATGTTAGGGGTTGTATGCTGGAATGTGTTCAGTCAACTCACCAAGCTTGCCGCAGGCGTAGCACTTCATAGCTTGGGCCTGGCAGTCACGAGCAAAGTGATTAGGTCCACCGCACTTGTAGCAAGTGGCCGGGCGAGCGCCACCAGCGAAACCGCCACGGAAACCTCCTCCATAGCCGCCACGAGGAGGGCCGCCAGCTCCACGACCCATTCCAGGGTTGGGGCAGTTGCGGGCAAGATGGCCAGCGATACCGCAGCTGTAGCAGCGTCCGCTGGTGCCGGCTCCACTCAGACGCAGAGTTGGGCAGTCAGCCTGGACGTGTCCGAGACCCTGGCAGTGGTAGCACTGCTTGGCTGTTCCTTGGTCAGCTCTTCATTTCTTTATCATGCAGGGTTGTATATCGCCGAAAGTGTGCGAGGGCCATTGGACGAGTCCTCGATGTGAAAACGGGTAGTATGGATTGCAGTGACGTACTCTCGGTAGTGCGGGGATGCGGGCACCCGTTAGACTCGTGGCCTGGCTGCTTGCCTGTAGAGAGGTTAGTCCATAGTCGCAAGTGGTTTTGGGGTGGTCTTACAGTTGTAGCACAGCCTCTCAGAGGAAGAGCAAACCTCTGTATATCTCCGTCAGTCGCAAGGTCTCTCATGAAGGCTGCAATACTGCTCGTGGCGGGGCACTTTAGGTACTGCACTCAGAACCAACATGCGCGATGTGTCTTCTGATAGTGCAATCGCAGCGCGCGCTACGAGTCGATGCGCGGAATGGCTTACCGGCATAATGGCCAACGTTTCCGCACTTGAAGCACGCACGACGAGACAGGGAAGACATGGTGTTGTTTCTCTGGATATATCTGGGAAGCTTATAAGTATACACTCGGTGGTTGCGTGAGTTGCGCAGGGCGTGGGTCGCGAATGAGGGGTGGTTTTGGGTGGTGTGTTTGCTGCGACATCTGCTCTGCTCCGTGTTTGCTCAAGGGAATGCATGCGCGACTAGCAGAGCTGATAGGGCGAAAGTACCTGCTTCGTTTGCTTCTTCGATTTCCTTCACCTGCGTTCGCCAGTCAGTCGCAGATTTTTCGAGGGGCTGTCGTCGAGGGGTAAGGGAACGCGGACGAAGCACGCGCCAGGGCGGAACCTTGCGCGCACCGTAGGGAAGGAGCGATTTTCGGCGGGCGCAACCTACTTGCAACTTTCCTGACCTTCCCACAGCAACTCTTCTTCAACCTCCTGCGAAATGTGGTGAGAGATTTTGGGGGATCGTGGAATGTTCGGGCAACGGGCAAAATGCATCTCTCATAGCTGTGGTCCCTGCTTCGGTTGCGCTAGCGAAATGCGCAATCTGGTTCTTCCCGAGGTCGAACTGAACCATAAACAGCCCCGAATTGCATCATGCGCCGTTTCATAGAACCCGACTATGCCCTCTTCACTCTAGAAATGTCCCGTCTCCTATCATCGTGCATCAGAGGCGCTTTCATCGTACCGTGGGGGCCCTGGATTGTTTTTTGCCCCTCCGCTGCTGCCGCCAGTTTGAGAGCTGGTCCTTTCTGCCCCGCATCATGACACGATTGTTGCAGTCGTACCCTGTAGCTGAGATGCAGAGTCAGCTTCCCCAATATCAGCAACTCAACGCCCTCTGTGCAGTCCGGCTATGTCAAATGATTCGAGCAGGTGGTTGTCCCAAATATTCATATCATTCGTGTCTATATATTATTCAATGCCAACAACAGTGATGATTTTTTTATAATCGTAGTCGTTCACTTGCCGTCTTCTGTTGTGCCAAAGAGTAGGTCTCGTGGCGGGAGCACGTTGCATCGAGCTTTGTAGGTCTTCTACTCTTCGGACTCGATGACAGCAGGAGCCTTGAGGGTCTTGGTCTTAAGGAAGTCAAGGCCTTCGCCACCCTGGATGACAGTTAGCGTTCGGTTTCATAGACCAAGAGATATCTCTGAGAACTTACGTATGAGATCAATGGTGATACTTCGATACCGGCCTCAGCGTCCTCGCTGACAACGGTGGCGCCCGCGGCCTGGACCCACTTCTTGCCCTGGGTCATGATGTCCTGCTTGCTGGTATCAGGGTCGTCCTCACCAGTTCCACGGGCATTCTTCAGGGGCGAGAACTCATCCTCACGCTTCACTTCCATGCAAGCGAATCTCTCCAGAGTCAGGAAGGGGAAGCAGTCGAAGACGAATTGCTCCAGCTTGATGCCGTTTGGCTTCTCTGGCTTAATGGTCTCACCGGTCTCGGTGTTAACGTAAGGGATCTTCTTGCGCGCAACGTGGTGAGGAAGCTTCTTTGCCCACTCTGGGATGCTCTCAAGGAACTTGTATGAGTAGTAGTGGTTGACGATGTTGGCGGCGCGGAACTTGAGTAGGCTCGAGTCCTTGGAGTCCTTGGCCTCTGCGTCTTCGGTTGAGATCTCTGAGTACTCGACAACATCTGGCTTGCCGTTCTTCTGGAGGATGAGGCCGACAGACTCCTTGGCGTTGCGCTTGCGAACAACCTTGGTAGCGATGTCAACGTTCTTCGACGCGGAGAAACCGATAAAGGCAGGGTCGGCGACCTTGACCAGGCAGTTGTCGACACAGTATGCATGGATGTGCTGGATGCCACGCTTGCCCATGTCTTGTACGACACCGGACTGGATAAGAGCTTGGTAAAGACCACCGTTGCCATCGGGAGCGACGGCGACCTTTGACTTGCTCTCCAACAGGATCTTGCCCTCATTGGAGATGCATGGCAAGACACCCTGCTCGAAAATGACAACGTTCTCCTTCTTCAAGCCAAAGTAGTTATTCTTCTCGAAGAAGTCGGCGGTAGGGCCGCGAGTAGGGCCGCTGGTCATGACGTACCACGGGATGGTAACGCTCTCCTTGTTGTGCTTCTTGGCCGCCAGCATCTCGGCCTTTTTGATCCTCTCACCCTGCAGCTGGAACAGGCTCTTCTTGCTGGGCAGTCCAATGTCGAAGCATCCCTTGGGCGCTGAGCTGCCCAGACGGGTACCCTGGCCACCGGCCATCAGCACAACCGCGACCTGGTTCTCGGCGATCAGGTCCAATCCGCTGTTGTACCATTTGTCGAGATCTTCCTGCTGGGAGGAGAGGACGGAAGATGTGGCATTTTCGGGGAGGGGCTCGAGCTTGTTCTCAGTGGCTTCGGCTTCGGCGGGGTGGAGGGCGCGCTCGGTGATTTCGTTGATGTAGTCAGGGTTGAAGTTGCTCAATTGCTCATAGAGGGTAGCCTTCTCGGCAGTGGAGAGCTTGTCGTAGAAAGCCTGGTGTTTCTGTTAGCAAGGGAACATGAGATGGGAGCGTCTCAGAAGTCATGGCTGGGTCCAGTGAGCCACTTGGTGCTCACAATGTCCAGCGAGGTGCTCCCAGACTCGCCCACGACGACATCGGGGCTGCACGTACAAAAACTTGCTCTTGGCCAGCCTTCTGGTACTTGGACTTGAGCTCGTTCAGCTGCTCCTCTGATGGCTCCTTCGCGGGTGTGCCCTGAGATGCGCCCCCTGTGATGTTGAGCTTCTCGAGCGCGCTGTTGACCGTGTCTTTGATGGCGTCCATGATGATGCGGGGTATTGGTAGGGTAATTTGTGTATTGTAGAAGGATGTCGCTACTAGTTCCAAGGTGTATGCCTGAGATATACACCGAGTTTGTTGAAAAGTACGGTTTTGCTGCCTCACCGCGCCTTTATGAAGAATCGACTACAGCATAGCTCTGACGCTCGTGTTGCCCCACTCAGCGTAGGTCCCTACTGCACATGCGTAGGAACGAGCCCAGAGCCTCCCGAGATCGTCAGCGCCCGCAATTCGTCACTAATAATAGATTTTTTGTGTATTCTGTATCCTTCATTCTTCACAAGCTACAGCCATGTCGTAAAGCTACATGTGTAACTAGTCATCGCTCATGCCGCCATGCGCAAATACAAAATTTCACCCAGATGCTTCTGGTTGCCAGCGAACGGCCAAGAACAAAATTGCCGCTCCGGCGCAATGCATGAACACCGGGCTTTCCAAAAAGCAAGCCATATGCAACTCCACAACGCCATGATGTCGTGTAACCACGTTTCTCATAATGCGGTGCATGTCATTACGCGTGTCCATTGACCTCCGCCTTCTCAGGCTCGGCAGGCTTTAGCGCTTTTTGAGGCGCTGGATTTAGTATGCGAGTGGCATCGATCAAGCCGGCGTTGGGGTTCAGCTTGAGGCCAAAGCCTGGGAGATCAAGGGTCTTGACGTCGAGGTATCCCTTAGTGGGGATGGGCTCGTTGGTAAATCTACATCTCATTAGCAAAACATTCGGCAGATGATTGAGCGAGAACTTACAGGTTGCCGAAGACGGGCAGAACAGACTTGCCGTCTGGTGAGTTTGCGAGGTACTCTTGGAACGGCGAGTTGGCCTGAGAAACAACGAAATGGTACGAGTATGGTCCACTGGCGTGGGGCACAACAGGAATATCGTAGGCAGCAGCCATGGCCGAGATCTTGATGAGCTCAGTCATACCTCCAACCCACATGACATCAGGCTGGAGGATGTCCAGGTTGCGGCCCTCGATGAGCTTCCTAAAGCCGTATCGCGAGTACTCGTGCTCGCCTGTGGTAAATTTCATGCGAGGGTGAGCGCGCTTGATCTGCTCGAAACCATCCGAATCATCGGGTGACAAACACTCCTCCCACCAGTTCAAGTTAAGGTGTTCGGTGGCCTTTACGACTTCGATTGTGTAGGGTACGTTCAAGCTCATGTAGCAATCAACCATGAGAGGGAAATCTGGTCCGACGCTTTCACGGTGCTTGGTGAGGAACTCGACGTTCTTCTTGAGACCCTCAACACCCTCACCAGGGCCGTAAGGCAGTGGTACCTTGGCGCCAAAGAAACCCATCTCCTTTGCTGCTGCAGGCTCAGGACCAGTACAGTAGAAGTTGAGCCTCTCCCGGGTAGCTCCGCCGAGCATCTTGTATACGGGCTCATTGCGAATGTGGCCGAGCAGATCCCAAATAGCAAGATCGATTACTGAGATGACGGCAACTGGGAGGCCTTTGCGACCATAAAACATGGACGCACGGTACATCTGCTCGAACATGTGGTTGGTATCTCTAGGATCTGGAGATAGATTAGAACTGTTACTCAATACATTCTCCAACTGAGTGCTTACCTTGGCCAATCAGGAAGCGCTCGAAATGCTCAGCAACTAGCCAGCATGCTGGCGGACCTCCGAATCCAGTAGCAAAACCCTTGGTACCGTCACTGGCCTCGATTTCAACACAGAAGGATCCCAAGACATTAATGCCCCAGCTGGTTCTTGACTTGCGGTAATCTTCATACTGGCTCATGGGAGTCGAGATCTTGCTATCAATGAGCCAGTGGCCACCAGCAACATTGTGATAGTCTCCGCCGCTGCCGGGGCCTTGGGTAACGAAAGTTCGCACGTGTTTGATAGTGGGAAAGGAGCGCGCTGCGCCAGAATCTGTGGAAGAAACCATTGTGAGATCAGGAAGAGTTGGTTACACAGGAGAAGCAGACGACAAAGCGTGAAGGAGGGGTAGATAAGTGGTTGGTATCAGAGCGCAAATGTTATTTAAACGGCGGCATAACTACGTGCCAGGTTTCGTGTCTCGTTGAAGAGGGTCCCTCGGTCCATCTCGCTGCGATTTGCAACGACTGGGGGAGAATCCGTTGATACTTGGGCCAAGAAGTGGAGCGCACGCGCGTGAGCAGGCGTCGATGTGAGGCGTTCGGCACGTTGGCCGGAATGTGGACAAGGCCGAAGCATGTGTTTTTGCAGATCAGTATTGTACCGAAAAGCCAGCGGCCCACTGGAAGCCACCAATCCGGACATGCGGAGGGAGAGTAGGCCGGTAATTACGATATCTGGGGTAAGGGTCTAAAGCATGTAGGCGGGGCTGCGACGAGAGGACACCTCGGACTGACTTCTGCCGAGTTCAGCTGCACGCCCCCAATCGCATCCTCCACCATGGATACCAGTGCAGCCCACCAGCAGACGGCGAGTCCCAACGGCACTGCGAAGCTTTCCAACCACTCCCCTGGCGATGCGCAGGACTGGAGCGGCGATGAGCGCTCCAGCGACGATGAAGCCAACGACCGAAGCCAGAGCGGCACATCGAACAAGCGGAAGCGGCCGCTATCCGTAAGCTGCGAGACATGTAGTAAGTGTGGTACAGCAGGACCTGAGGCATTCCATTCTTACCAAGGGTAGAGCAGCGAAAAGTCAAATGCGACCGAGGCGCGCCAGCTTGTTCCTGGTGCTTGAAAAACCACTCCGCATGCGTCAGTTGCGCCGTCGGCTCGTACCAGCCCAATACTGAATCACATCCAGGTATATCTCCCGCGCAAGAAGCCAGGTCTGCGCGCTGGCTATGGACGAGAGCTGGAATCAAGACTTGGTAAGTCGCGTGTCCTCACCACCCTGTTCTGGAGTAGCCGAGGTCTGTGATCAAGTGCATGCGAGTCTGCTGTCGCTGCTGTCAGACTTTGCGCTTCCATCATGGCAACAAAGAGGCTTTCAGACGCGTCGCAATTGTCGCGTAGCGTGGCTGAACAGGCTGCTCCTTCCGTCCGAAAGCTAGAAACTGTACACGGCAACCACCAACACAGCTGACCGTTGCGCTCCTTCCAGACAAGCTCGAAGCGCTCATCGTCCAGCAGCAGTCGCAAATCAACCACCTCTCCAGCAGCCAGGTCGCCACTTCTGGCCCTTCACCACAAGAGGTGGCCGCGTTCCGCAGCCCGCCGGTGATACAGACACCTCACATACCGCGTCCCGAAACGGCCCTCTTCATCCAGAAGCCCACGTTTCCGTCGCAGAATGCAATACAGAACCAATATGGCAACGGAGTCACGGATCACAGGCCTACGCCCTCGGTCACGGGCAATGGCTACCAGTCCGAGGACATGAGCAGCATGAGCGGTGGCATGTCTAGAGACGTCTATACCCCGTACAACGACCAGTACCAGCCGGCCATGTCGAGGAATCTCGGCCATGCAGACGCCGACTTCCCTCCCTACGATCTTCTGTATGGGCTTGTCGACCTTTTCTTCAAGCACATCAACACCTGGTGTCCCATCCTTCACCGTCAAAGCACGTTGAACTCGCTGTTCGGAGACGCAACTCTAGACGAAGCGGACCGAATCATACTACACGCTGTTGTCGCCACTACTGTCAAATTTTCTACCGACCAGCGCCTGACCGCGGAGAAGCGCACACGCTACCATAAGAGCTCCAAGGAAAAGGTCTTGCTGTATGGCATCGAAAACAGCTCCGTCAAGTCGTTGCAAGCCCTTGTCATCCTTGCTCTAGATGTTGTTGGCTGCTCCAATGGACCTCCGGGCTGGAATCTACTTGCTCTCATTACGCGCTCGGTGGTCCAGTTGGGTCTTTCGGTCGAAAGCTACTCACCTAGCGTGGCCCCGCAATTTGCGTCAATATACACTTTGCGCGCCATGACGCTCCCCGAGCCAAAAGACTGGATCGAAGAAGAAAGTCGGCGCAGACTGTTTTGGATGATCTATGTTCTGGACCGATATGCGACCGTTGCGACAGCTTTCGAGTTCGCCTTGGACGAGAAAGAGATCGACCGTCGATTGCCTTGTCGCGATGACATGTATGCGCGAAATGTTCCTGTTGAGACGCGATGGTTCCATACCTCGACGCGATCCGACTACAGTATGAACAGACCGGAGAATCTTGGTTCCTTTTCCTACTACGTCGAGATCTTGGGCATCCTCACGCGCATTCACAAGTTCCTGAAAAAGCCGGTCGATATTACGTCTTTGTCCGACGTCGAGTCGTGGCAAAGTGAGTACCGGGAGCTCGACAATGCTATTGAACAGTGGAAGTACAACCTTCCCGCAGAATTTGGAAACTCTGCGAGGCTATTCGCAAAGCCAGGCATGGGACAGAATCTTGACAGTGGTTTGGTAATGCTCCATGCGGCTTTCCACACGTAAGTTTGATCCCTACCCGAGACACAAAGGATGTACTGACTTCAATAGCACGGTCATTCGCCTTCACTCTTCCGCCGCGTACCCAACCCATCGATCGCCCATCTTCACTCCGTCCTTCAGCGCTAGTCAGAGGTGTCTCAGCGCTGTCGAGAACATAACAGCCCTTTGTGCTACTGTACGTGATAACGGTTTGCTGAGCAAACTTGGCCCACCCTTTGCGTTTTCGCTGTGGGTGGCTGCACGTGTTCTCTTGGTTCACGGATCCACAATCGACCATCGCGTCGACCAGTCAATCAATCTTCTCGTCAGTACTCTTCAAGACATGGGCCAGTACTGGGAAGTTGGTACGCGTTACGCTAGCCTTCTTGCACGTGTACTCTCTGAATACCAGGAAAGTCAGCAAACCCCTACGGGCGCGAACGGTGAACGCGTGACGCCTTCAACTGTCAAGATCCTGGCGGACATGCGACGATGTGCATTTGATCTGGATTTCCTCATTTCTCGACAGCCCAAGCTCAGTAACAACCAGAACCCTAAGGTCAACACTGTTACCCCGGCTCGAACACCTGCACCAAATGAGCTAGAGTATCTTGACGTGTTCGATTTCTTCAATATGCCTCGACTACCAGTGTCGATGGATGGTTCCATGAGTTATCCTGCACCCGATGGCAATATGCAATTGCCGGATGGCGGTTTTGGGAATGAGTCGAATATCACAAATTACATGGTTGACGCAAGCTCAGATTGGTTCATGAAGCAATCCGCCTAGTGCCTGCTCTTGGGTCGTTGGACGTACAGGAAACGGACCTGATCTAGTAAAAGTTGGTTATGTTAGTGCGTAATATGGTGTTTGGGGTGATGTTCGTATCGTTGCTTGTACAACGCTCATTAGTTTCAAAAGATACCCAATTTTTCTCTAACCGATCAGTGTGTTCCTCTTTGTACTGTTTAACGTTACTTGTGAGACGCTTGGCGTCTTACGTCCGTATAGAGTGGTGCCAACACGGAACCGCTCATTCCGATCTCGGAACTGGTCCTATCGGTGTCATCTGCATCTTCGATCGAGCATCTTGAACAACACTTTGCATGAACCTTTGTTAATCAAGGCAATACACGTATGTTGTGCCTAGCGAGATCCTAAGCGTTATCCGAGCCTCATTTGCTGTAGGTCCGATTACTTTTGGACAACACGGTATAGGAATCAGTGACTATTTGCCGTCGGAATAGCCTCTCAAACTTCGGGATAGCTGTGCAAGGTACACAAATCTTACTCCGTTGGCTGCAACATATAAAAGAGACGGGTTGCTGATACTAAATTAGCTTTGTATCCCACTTGAGCATTCTATACACAACTCCGGGTTCATTCTACCTCGATATCGGACCAAGACCTTATCGCGGACCCAAGATTCAGCAACCAGCATCACTGAACCATCAGATCGCCAGTAATCTTGGATACTATTTACCAAGTCGAAATCTTTCCAGAATTCCACCAAACCCGTCATGACATCTCAAACAGACGACCAGCACGTCCTTGTCATGGGTGCAGGCGTCATCGGCCTTACCACGTCCCTCGTCCTGTCTCACGCCTACCCCAACGCCAAGATAACGGTGGTAGCAAAGCACTTCCCTGGAGACCGTTCCATAGAATACACGTCTCCCTGGGCTGGCGCAAATTGGTCTTCCATGGCCAACGACAACGGACCTCTAGAGAAATACGACGAGGTGACCTTTCGCCGCTTTGGCGAGCTTGTTGATGGAAAGGAAGTATTTGGATGCCAAACACTGAAGGCTGGTGAGACGAAAGGTATAGATGGAGTGAATGGGGGAGGCAATGAAGCAGGTTTGGGGAGAATGGGTATGTGGGGTGTGTTTGACGCGCCAATCGAAGAGACAGGTCTTTTGACGAAAGAGACGGGAAAGGTGTGGTACGACCAGCTAGTCGGAGGTTTGAGGAATTTGGGGGAAAGTGAGCTTCCCAAGGGCGCGACGTTTGGTCTTGATTACCCAAACACGTTCAGGATTAATACGCAGATATATTTACAGTGGTACGTCTCCTTTCTGTCCTCCCCCGAATTGCAAGACAATTTCTTGAAGTCGAAACGCTAGAAGCTCATGTCATACCCAGGCTCCAAGTTCAAGCCCTAAGCAAAGGCATCACACTCGTCCGTCGCCACTACCCATCCGTCTCAGACGTCTTGGCCGACCACCCATCAACTACTCTCCTGATAAACTGCACCGGAATTGGCTCTCTAAACCTCTCGGACATCAAGGATACAAACCTCTACCCAACACGTGGCCAGACCTTACTAGTTGCCGAGCCTAAGAAACCAATTACTCGAATGTATGAAATGGAAAGGGTCAAGTACGACAGTGCTATCTACTTGCGTTCCCTTGCCTAGCTCCCAATAACGCTTCATGGAACTGATGGAGCTGACCATGTGAAACTAGGTATTTCCGCTCCCCAAAGCGGATCGATCCAACGACGACATATGTGTTTCCTCGCCCACTGGGCGGTGGCGTTATCCTAGGTGGTAGTCGACAGGATAACGATTGGAGTGCGGAGTGGGATGAAGAACTTGGTCAAGACATCATGAAGCGATGTTGTGAGTTGTGTCCCGAGTTAGGGAAGCCGGAGGATTTGCAGATTATCGCGAAGAATGTGGGGTTGAGACGTGAGTTGTAGCAGTGGATTCATATGATCGAGAACAGTGTACTGACGACTTTTAGCTTCACGCAAGGGCGGCCCAAGGATTGAGACGGAGATGGGGAAGTGGAAAGTTCCGGTTGTGCATTGCTATGGGCATGCTGGTGCGGGCTATCAATCATCATGGGGATCCGCCGAGCGCGTCCTTGAACTCGTTCAAAAGACGCAAGCACCGAGCTCAAAGCTATGATTTAGTCATTTGTACCAGCGTTTCGGCCGATTCATGCATCGTCCCTGTAGAGACTTGAGATGAAAATGGTAGAAAAGCGATCAAGTTACGACGAATTAGATACAATCTCCTTCATTTATACTGTAAATGTGTATGCACATGAAGCTTAAAGCTTTATGGTGAGGTTGTACATATCCAGACCCACTGCAACTGCCGTGACTGCTGCAATGTATGCGACCAGTATTCCCATAGACTGCAAAACAGTCATATGCAAGGTTGGAAATGTCATGTTAACCAGACCGGTCAGTAGATTCGCTACAAGGAAAACTGCTAGACCATTACGGTTGTAGGCGTAGAGTATAGTGCTAGTAGCATCTCTACTTCTCCGAGATTCCTCCTCTTTGGTCTTGGCATTGTACAAGTTTGGAAAGAGGAAACTCTCGATAGCGTAGCAGATGGTGATCTGGTAGCTGTTGAACGAGGAGACCCAGAGGAAGTAGGGGAGGTTGGCTAGACGTCGCGATACGGGGAGTCGCAGACCGTAATAATTGGTTGAGAAATAGAAGAGGGCTGTCCAAAATACAGAAGTCATAATCAGCTTGCCGAACGTAGATTGTTGGAGCTTAACCTGGAATGATGCATTCTTTGCGATCGGCTGTTGTCTTGGTAGTGCGGACGCACCCAAGGACTGGCCTGCAAGAAAGATGGCGAGGTAGCCAAAGAAAGAGAAGATGCCTTCTCGGTTCTGAGAGAAGAGGTCCGTCCGTGGAGCTACCAGTATAAAGGATCCGAGCGAGGTCCAGTCTAAAGCAATCTCATATGCAGCAGCCAGAACAAAAGAAAGAACGGCATAGGATGGTACCAAGTCAAAGGCCGATTGGAAGAGAGCCGCAAATGGGGGCAAGAAACCGAGGGTGAAAAAGAAGTTCCAGTGTACACCATATTCGGTAACATGTTCAGCATAATCCAGTCCTTTGACGGAGATGAGCCGTATAGTGCCCAAGACCAGAAGAGGGATGGCATGCCTAACCGATGCCGTGAGGCGCTTCGATAGCGGCTGACGACCAGCTCCTTGCTTGAGAGAAGCCCGGACAGATACTACACCAGCCGTGAAGACGAATGATCCCACACCCATGTCCATGAGCGATGTACCCCAATTCTCTACTTTTGCGAAACGCCGAGGAAAGACGCGGAAGTCGACTGCCAGAATAGCAACACACGTTATGACCATCATTGCGCCACGGTAATTCGTAATGAACGGCTTCACTGGGAGCGCATCGAGCTTCGTGTCCTTTTCGGATTTATCGATCTTGGGTGGTCGCGGGGTATCTTTTGCCGCGACCGGCTTCTCGAATACGTAGAGCGTGATTGCTGGCAGTAGTAGAAGGAGGTTCAGGATCCATGGTGAATGGGAGTATATGGTAGTCGCGAATAACGTGGCTCCGCAGTTGAGCAGGAAGTCAACCAAGAAGGCAGGTGGAGTATAGGGTGTGAAGAGGCGCATGCGCGACTGTATGACGGTCCATAGTAGAATACTCAGCTATGCATACAATCAGTAAGGGTCCATTGCTTGAGTAGTGGGTGTGTGTACGGTACAGGCATTGCGAGTGAGACGCTGTTAACGTCTGCCACGGAGCTTCCGGTGTGTCCAGACACCCAGGCCTCCTTCATCTGCTTATATGTCTTTGCCATAATGCCAGAATGAGTGTTGGGCGAGTTGGTCGTTTATCTTGAGATGCAATAGTTAGTACATCTGACGCGTCGCGCTGGCCTCTTTACAAACGGGGAGTGGCCCAAGCGCCGATGACCTCACACATCGCGGCTTCGACACTTTTCCCTTAACATGTCCATTGCACTGTCATGGATTGTAGCCGAACCATTCGAGGGAATCATTTCGATATGTCTGTTTATACTATAGAATTCCAGGGGATAGCCGCCAGGAATGCCGAAAAGAGCAGGATTGCACTTTACGTGCTTGGACGTCCTCCTTCACTGTCACTGCTCCTCTAGGAGCAAACGCGTCTGTGCGCAAGACCCGGGAAATGGCAACTGTAGTAGAGATCCCAAGTGCCTTCCTGCTTCACCATCGAACACCCCGCATACCGACACGTGCTGAACCTCTTTGCTGTGACCTCTTGACTGCTCCTTGAAACTGTCAACATATGCAAATATGACCACTACTAACAAATCAAAGATACCTAGCATTCGGCCAGCTTCGGTGGGCATAAGAGGGGCATTGCCTGGACGGGCCATGTCACCTGCGACCCGCGCGACGACGACGCCTACGGGCACTTCACGACTCCTTCGTCGCCCTCAAAGCGACAAGCCACTGCCCAGTCCGCCTATAGCACAGGTTGTAGATCCCAACTCGCCTCTCAAGGCTTCACGCACATTAGTGGACGCTTTCACTCCGAGCCCGACCTTAAAGAAGTACCCGGTTCTGCGCCCAGAGAACATTCCCCCTCGTCTGAGTTCCAAGAGGAGCTCGCTCCCAACGCGATGCCCAGTCGCCTCTCGCTCGTTTGTTTCCACCAATGGAGACGACGGTACTCGCGTGAAGCGACTATCCTGGCATTCGTCGGGCTCAGGTTCCAGCTCAGGAACTGGTCCTATCCTAACCATCTCTGGCGATGCAGATGCCATGATTCTAGGTCAACGCGACTCAATCCCGGCCGTACCTGCTATACCTTTGGTCCTCCCGGAACGTACTACCCAGCCGCGGTCTTTCAGCGCTCTCACTAGCCGCATGTCCAAAGCGACAACATCCCGGGCAGAATTGACTATCACGACAGCGTCACCGGTACCAAGCACGAAAGAGCTCACGGCAAATGGAAGTCCTGTCGTCAAGATCAGCCCCATTCGATCGATGCAGCCGCCGAGGCAGCCTAGCCTAGATGCCAATTCTCCTAGATCGCCTTCGTCCGTATATTCGACTTTCCCGGATGCCGAACGAAGTGTCTCGTCGGCATCAGACAGGTCTGCAACACCTACGCCAGAGCCCAAGTCACCTGCTCCGCCACTTCGAGACCCACCTGAGCCGCCAGTCAGTGCTGTAGAAGTTTGCGAGGCATGTAATCTCTATCCTTTGACATGGAAATATTGACAGGCAAATTAGGAACTGCCTGAGGAGATCTCTGAGCTGACGATCACATCCGAATCCGATGACCTCCTCAGTGTGAGCAAGGTTAGAAAGACAACATCGATGCAGGGGGGTGTAAGTCCCTCGCTGGGTTCGTTCGATCGTCCTGGAAACAATGTCTCGGCCCCCAACATCAGCACTGCCAAATTGAGCTCGCCATCGTTGTCTCGGGTTAAGCATTCACGAGATACGGCTCGCTTCCCAGGTTCTCTCAAGCCAGAGGTCTCGGGGACAGCCAGATCGATCAGCATTGATATCCCGTTGGGCTGCGGAACACCTAAGAATCGTCCGTCGCGCTGCCAGCCATACACACCCATGGTCTCGTCTTCCTCTCCAAATGACTTCACTCCGGAGAATCAAAACAGGGAAGCGTTAGCGACAAAAGTCCAGGCTAAACGCAGCATTCTTGGCTTATTCAGTCGCGAAAAGGCACGGGTCAAGACACCAGAGACGGCCGTTCCCAAGCAAGGGTTTATGAGTGCTACACGAAGTTCGCTCGCCAAGGTCATGCGCGATTCCAAGAGTCTATCCAAGGTCCATCTGCCAAGAAAGACTGAATCGAGGTCAGAGATTAGGTCAGATCGCACGGTCAATAAGAGGAGCAGCCAGACAGGCACGTTCACTGCGCCTGATAACAACAGAGTGTCCCTGTTACAGGAAGCGGTTCCCGAGAAGCGAATAAACACAACCGAGATGCTTCACGATATGGTCGATCGCATAGAAGCAGGGCCTAAAGACTCGCCAGAGCGTCTGCGCCATGTACAGATCGCAGAGGTATGTGAAGCCCTCCGATCACGGTCTCCCATGTTGGAAGAGCTCCTCCTGACAGTACAAATCAAACAGTGCATCATCCTGGCCGCTGAATACACTCGCAACGCCAGCATCAGTGCTTTGGAGGCGAAGAAGAGTGCCCGCGACGCGGAACTTCATGCAGATCGTGCTGCGCTTGAGTTTGCGCGATTGAACACGCTACTTGACGGAGCAGAGATTGATGCCCGTTCTATGAAGTTTATTAGAAGTCTGTTCACAAACACTGCTGCCAGTGAACCTGAGTAAGAGACACGCTGAGGAGTTTTGTCAATCATGTGCGTAGCACATTGAGAGTAAGTGGAAGCTCATATTTGCTATCAGCGACCAACAGCTAACAAAGGTCAGTATGTCGTAAACAGCGCTCTGTGCATCTTGCTACAGGACATGTTTGCATACTATCTAGTGTTCCTTTCGATTCATTGGCATACTAGCCACATTTACAGTTCTATTTTGTCGGACGGATCTGGCTCGTGTAGCTTGTCCCGAAGCGCCATGGTCTGCCGTACGCTTCCTTTTCGTTGTCACTTCTTTCAGATTAGAAGCGTACCACGACAGAACGACAGTATGATACAAGACGATTGCATGCTTCTGTGGTTCATGATGTTACGATTGCACGCGATCATAGACTGATACGAGATTTGGCTCACTGTCGGCTGAAAGCACCACCTAATGTCCAGTGCGTGGAAGGATTGAGCGTTGAGACAAGTGGTCCGACTGCACGCACATATCGAAACCAAGGTACGCCTTTGGAAGATACCCCTGTTAGATGGATCGGTTGGTTTAGAAATACAAGCTTTGTATTGTACATGTCCTTCATATCGTTATGTCATTCCTGTGAATGTGGCCATGAAGGCATACAGGCATTCAAAGGCTGAAGCGGAGTAGGCAAAGCAATCCTTCAACATTTTGGTCCAGAACACCGACCGTTCCAAAAACTTATGCAGCAGCAACCGTCCCCAGAGCGAGATGTCCTGCCATCGAATATCCGATGTCCAGCGGCCCAGCACATGCACAACTAGACATGCCCGTATATCGCCTAACTTCCATATTTTACCTCTTCAATATAATAAGACTTTTCTTACATTCCACCACCGAACATGCCGCCACCTCCACCCTGCTTTCCTTGTGCCTCTCCCTGCATCTTCTCGCTAACCTTGACATTGACTTCGAAGAACTTAGATACGCAGCGGTCGAGGCAGACGGATTCGCCCTTGTTGAGATCGGCTTCCCGGTAGTTTGTGTCTATGCATTTGGCTGTGCAAGACTTGACGAGGCTGGGGAACATTGACGTGTTAGTGTTCATCTTATTTGAGAGGGTCGCCTTGGGTAGACGTGCACAGTAGTGGGTCGAGAATCGAGCAAATATAGAGTTACAAGATGCGCAAGGCAAAATTTGGGAGTCTGAACTTACCGGCTGTACATGTCGCTCACCATGTCAATCTCAGCTTCCGCCTGCGCAATCTTTTGCTCCGAAGAGATTTGAGGTTTTTGACCGAAGAACATTGACATGTTGACTGATAATTTATCCTTCTCTTTCTGTTTGTGTGATGAAAAGGTGCGTAATTGGCGACTATAATGATCGTCAAATGGTTTGTTTGGGGGGAGGAAGCTTGTTAAGGTAGAGTGGCCGTGGTGATGGATTTGGACATGGGTGACGGCGGGCGATGATGTCGCGCGAGCAGGAATTTGGAGCTGGGTGCGCTTTGGGGGACGTGCGGATTTGGTGGCTCAAGTGACGCGGGACGCGGCCTGTTTGGGACTCCATTCTCATCTCTTCGTCCTGAGCATTCGCAGCGACCATGCATCCTTACGGCCGCCGATAGGTGCAAAAGATAAGAAATTACAATAACACTGGAACTGTCAGGAGTGTACTTCCAATGTTATTTCAATCGCTCCAATTAGACAAGTGGTACAGCACTAAAGATTGAGCTCATCGCCTCATGAAGACGGCCTTCGATTCAAGTAGACTTCCAATTACTCCAATAAACGTACTTGTACAACCTTTCTCATCTATCAATACTGCCAAGCAGGTCTAACATATGTTTTTGACGTCTCATCCGCGCTGATGTGGTATTGTTGCTAGCGTATACGGCCTGTGTAGCCTGAGTGGCCTGTGATGACCTTGGACGATCATGCTCAGTACCCGACAACTCTGTAGCTGGAGGGATGCTTGGTGGGAAATTTAACGATGATGTACTGCACATTGACGGCCGAGGATCTGAAGACACACCAGATACAGACCAAGGTCTTATGGTCGCTGTCTGGCGACGTTGGCCACTCACAGGCATGTGTGTATAGAACTGTCCAGAGTCGAGCTCATATGTTGAGGACGGAACTGACAGTTCATTGATAACGGGGAAGTTGGTGGGCTCGCTGACCGTATGCGACACCATAGGTCTGCGTGTTGGGGTAGCTGGTAGCTCCGAGAGTAATGGCTGATACTTGTTGGCATGCTGACTCATATGCGATCTCTGGCTAGGAAGTTGTGATGAATCTCGACTCAACCGCGCGACATGACTTGGTGCATGAGCTGGCTCACTTCCAGGAAGCTCGACAGCAAGACTTATATCCCCTAATAACTCTGATAGCGTCTCAACCTTTTTATCATGGACGACGGCAGATCCTGGCGCTGGAGCTGATATCCCGAGGTGAAACGCATGAGGATTTACAGGTCCGTCCGAGTTTGTTCCACTCATGGTGTAATCGCCAGCCAGTTCAGCAAGGGCTTGGTACCTGTCCGAATGTACGTAGGCCCATGTGTCTTTTTGCCCTGACGGTATTGTAGATACGTAATCATGCGCCTTCTCCATTGACAGCCGTGAATTTACGCGCCGCAGACTATCGGCGTTGAGATACTGCTTGGTATCTCCTTGCGATGGTTGCGAAGGAGGACTATATTGTCCTACCGATGTATAAAGAGGAGGCGGGCTCTTTGGTAGGCTTGGAGGTGATGAGTATCCCTTGTTGAGTGTGTTGTAGCCCAACGTGGCGTTGTCTGACTTGGCTTCCCTCTTATCATTCAGTAAATGCGAAGCCGACTTTACGGGATCTTTGGTCCATATGTCTTGCGCGAACAATGCTTCGGTAAGACGGGAGGTATTGTTCGTTGGCCCAGTCTTATCAGCAGCATCGCGCCAGATAGTCTGGGACTTGTCTTCCATGGTCATCTTGATTGCCATGTCCATTTTATGCCCACTGGTTACTCTTTGATGTCGCGATACGATGTCATCAAAGTAGGTCGTGTTCTGGTATGTCGGTAGATCCTGGCTGGTCGGTAAGTCCTCTAGCCGATTGAGGAAGCTTAAAACGTTCGATAATTGCTGATGACATGCCACCAGTTCGCTTTTGCGATCACCTAATCGTTCGCGGTCGTTGAGGATGTACTGGAGTCTTTGAGATTGGTCCAAGACATGAGGATGTTGTCCGACGTCGCCACAATCCACCAATTTTCCAATGTCCTCCAAAGCAGAAGTGGTATTCTCGATAGCACTTCTGATCCAAGGGAGTCTCTCGGGCGTATAGGCGAGTTTTGTCCGCACCGAACCAACAGCCACTAATCGTTCAACTTCGAACAGATCGTCGCGAACGATACGTATCGTTCGTAAAAAGACCTCACTCTCGCTCCCAACGTCTGCGCTACGTATCGCAAGGTCAGCGAACCTAAACGCTTTGCTGACACTAGCGGATCTTGTTGGTGCACCTATCACAAAGTAAGCACTGCGTCGCGACATGTTTCATCATTCTAATATGTTCTATACATACCGATAGATCTGTTCATCCTTGAGGCCTTGGCTGGGAATGGTGGTGATATGTCAACTCATTACCCACAACTCATGTCTATACTCCTGTGGGGGCGCAGGTCGTGAATTACAAGTCCACGGAAATGACAGCTCGCCGGCGGGCAGCTCATAGACCCCCAATATTGGGTAAGCGATACAACAAAGCCTCAATCTGCAAGGCTAAGCACGCGGGCATTGCGGTACCCCTCATGCTGTGCTGCGGTGCCTCGAGAACCGATGAGCAGCTCGATGCTTCTTCCCACAGGCTCTGGTCATGCGCCCGTCGCTAAACATAGTTCGGCTACTCCAGTGGTCATATCATCGGACCAATACCTGATCGAAGCTCTTCGAACTATCTATATCGCACGGCTGAGTGACTGTTGTGTGTCTCACAAGGCGAAGGCTTGCAGATTGGACGAGAGCGAACATGACGCTCCTTCCCACCAGTGGCACCAACGCTAAGACATATGAAGCATAGTGCAAAAGGAAACCTTAACCTCGTCTCCCAGCCTCGTCACTCTACCTAGCATCTCAGCTCACGACCCTTAGCAATAACCCGAAGGTGTCTCAGCCGTACGATAGTTGCATTGTATACTGCACAAGCTATCCTCTAAACGCCATCTTTGCTCCATCTTCTCGATGTTCATGTCGCAATCTCCTTTTCCAGCAGCACGCGCGGAGGCCCTAGCACCTGCCCCTGGTCTCCAATCGTTTGTACCAGGCCTGGAAATACTACCAGACCTCCATGTTCGCTGAAGAATTCGAATCTAAATGATCCAGGCTGTGAAAAGAGTAGGAACGCGAAATTTGCAGATCGCGTCAGAATCATGTCCAGATTCTTGCTGCGTTGAGCTTCCAAGCCACTCTGCACAAAGGGCGCCACAATAGAGTCCAGATCTGCAACCGCGATGGCAAATTTTTGCTTACGATCCGAGTTTTGTTTGTTCTGGCTAAACCGCTCATGCAGCAGGGTTCCAGTTACGGTTTTCCATTTGCTGTACATGGCTGATTGGGCTGATTCGTGGCTTTAGCTTCCCTTACCGAGTTGGTGAGGCTGAGATTAAACTTACCAGTATTGCTGCCATCCTTTCCTGGTATGACCATGTCGATTGCAGCAAGTTCTTGGGGCAGCAGGCTCTCATCGTATCCTCCTGTACATCTCGATAGCACAATCCAGGCAAGAATGAGGCGAAGTGTCTCAGCTCTGGTTGAGGTGTTTGAAAGCATGCTTGCAAGTCTAGCAGAGCTTGTACCGGCTGCAGTTGCTAGTTGGCCCATATGTGCCTGACTGACACCGGCTGCCGGGATGGGAGAGAGATGATAATAAGTGCGAACGTGGTTCTTGATGTTGTCCCGTAGCTTCAAGACTGCGTCTGTGATAGTGTCGTCTGCCACGGGCTGGGGTAGCATATCGTCCAAGTTCGTTGCATACTCGCTGGTTACGGCTGTTGGTCCTTTCTCCAACGTTCTAGTAGCATCATTGACGGGCGCATGAGGTGGTGGCTTAGTCTGAACTAAGTTGTACCGCTTCTTCTTTTGACGGCGTAGTAAGAAGAAGAATATAGCTCCAGCGATCAGTAACCCGACGAGTAACATCGCGATAGCCACCCCAGCAACCGCACCTCCAGAAAGCCCTTTCTGAGCCGGCAGTGGACCAACTGACGCTGTAGGACCTTCATTCACCGTGCTGCCGTTTACCGAAGACTGGCTAGTCACAGACTTGAACGTCGAGGCACCATTGTTTGCGGATACAACTGAGGTCGTAGTCATACTCGTAGGACATGCTACCTCCTCGATGCCGCCACCAGGCCAAACCGTTGTACATTTGGATGTGACCACAGTTGGGCTTGAGGTTTGCGAGGCTGCGGGAAGCACCGATGCAGACGAGGAGATTGTTGATGATAATGTCGTCGATAGCTGTGTTGTTGATGGCGACGCCGATGATGCTAGCCCTCCAGCTTGGCTCGACGGAGGTTGTGCGCTCGACAGCGCTGGCGAGCTCATCGTTTTCTGTTTTTTCACAACTGCGCTCTTGATATACAACAATACTGGGCTTCTAGAAATGATAGAAGAGCAAAGATACTGACACTGCTTTCGACCGAATCTGCGATGCTGCACTATAAGGTGTTTGTACCGATGCTTGCTAGTACAGCCTGGTCAAAGATATGCACACCTCAGCTGTACTATAGCGCGGCAGACTACAGGACCCGATGGTATTGGTTTTCGCCGGAATTGGTAAATGTTGACGAGGCAGAAACCAGCAACCCAGCGTCAAGCTGCATGAAGTGGGGTCCGAATGTAGGACTATCGAATGGTCATCGGTACGAGGTAATGTGGCGTACTCCAGCAGCATCTCATTCTGTTACACCAAACAAAATTCGTGCAACACCACCACATACGACGCGGCATCAAAGTGGGCCCCACGCTATGGCTTTCCAAATCGGTGTCGACTTGTGGGCTGAGTTGAAGCGCGAGGCTGAGCTGGAAACATGGTGTTTGCGTCCGGAGACAAAGAACCATCGCATCTCGGCCTCACAAGTCTTCGAAATCCAGACTTTACAGATCTCTAGAATGACCACTGTTTAACCCGGAAACTATAGAAACAGAAGCTCAGTGGGATATAGCCACAGACTCATCATCAATCATTCTCACAACGCATACATTCACCATGGAAGGACTTCAGTCTCGGCCAGATCTGGTTATTTCCATTGATTTTGGGATGACATGTAAGTATAGGCTTGTCGTTCGCCAACATCGCAGTACTCATATCGCTATCAGGTACTGGTGTCGCGTATTGTAATGTAGCGACTGGATCTGATAGTGTTCGGCATATTCAGCGGTGGCCAGGAAGGACACAGGCAAACGAGAACAAAGTAAGGAATCGATCGCATGCCAAAGGACCTCAACTTACTCATTTCAGGTGCCAACATTGCTCGTATACCCACAAGACTCAGCAACGCCGTCATCATGGGGTTTTCTAGCCGAAACCGCACAGGAAGCTAGTGGTGCTGGGTACGAGAGTCGGGAGTGGTTCAAAATTATGCTGGATGAAGACCTGCTAGAACAGATGCGGAGAAAGTCCAGTGAGCCTAACAAAGTACCACACATACATGAAGTAGAGAAATGGTGAGTGGCCGTCCAAATTTGCCTTTGTAATCGGCTGATCAATATCACAGGTACACTGATTACTTTCGATACCTATACCGTACCATTGAAGCACGACTACGAGGGGAGCTCGCGAGCCGATGGGAAGACGCGAAAATCGAGTTCATCTTCTCGGTACCTACGACTTGGAAGCCGATACCGACTGTAGAGCGATTCAGGAAGACAATCTCGGCCGCTGGATTCGGCTCATGCGCCAACCACACAGCATCGATTGGGTTGACAGAAGCAGAGGCAGCTGCAGTGCACACAGCGCGCAGCATGCCAGGTATCTTCAAGGAGAATGAGATACTCTTCGTGTGCGACATAGGCGGAGGTACAACAGATCTATCAGTCTTTCGCGTGAAGAATATACACGGTAGCTCTCTGAGTCTTGAGCAGATCGATGTAGTTTTCGGAGCCACTATCGGAGCCGCGCAACTCGACAGTTTGTTCGAGAAAGAGGTGCTGCAGCGACTACAGCATGCAGACCGCCTGCAGCCAATGGGACTAAATGATATCAATCAAGCTGCATGGGAGATGCGAATCTCGAAGGAATATCAAAACGCAAAGTGTGACTATGGTTCGGAGGAGTCTCTAATGGACACCGAGACTTTCGCAGTGCGGATACCTAAACTCGACAGAGGTTACGTAAACCGGGATTATGCCATCAGCGACGGGGACATGTACTTTCGAAGAGACGACTTGAAAGGTTTTTTCGACACTCAGGTATCGAAACTGTTTGACATGATGGACAAACAGCTCTCTCGTGTCCGGCAGAAACATCCGGCCGAACAAGTGTCTCATCTCGTCCTCAGTGGAGGTCTCGGTAACTCTGCCTACGTCCAACATTGTTTACGAAGCCGATACGCATCTGGTAATACACCACACTCTAATGCACACAATATGCAGATCCGCATTGCTCCTGATCCTCAACTAGTTGTCTGCAAGGGCAACGTGGCCGATCGCGTTCAGAAACTCAAGACTGGACAGTCGGTTCTTGGATGGCGATGTAGCCGCGCATCTTACGGTACTATGTGTAAGATATTGTACGATCCTTACGACCCCGCGCATCAAGGAAGCAAGACGGAAGTGGATCCTTTGGACAAGAAAACGTATATCATGAACTGTATCGACTGGTTCATCAAGCAGGTAAAGCCCTTTAATAGCCTGGAATGATGGCAGACAGCTGATCAGCCTAGGGCGAACCCGTATCAAGCGATCATCCGATAGTCAAGAGCTTTCAACGAAAGTGCCCGCCAGCCACGTCCAAGAATCCCAATCCGCCAAGGATCTACCCTACGGAGGTGATTTGTACTGAAGTCGACAGATCTCAACTTCCGATAGTGATGAACAACGGTACATACACCCTTGATGCAATACGATAAGCCGTACTAATGATTCCAGCGTGTCGTTCGATCTGCAAGATCGAGTCAGACTTCTCATCCCTCCCACTTTCCCTCTTCAAACTGAAGAACCGACACTGGTGGAACTCCGGCCCGAAATACCATCGCATCAACTACATCGTCAAAGTAAATCTGGGTGCCGCCGATGTGTCTTTCGAACTATGGCACAATGGCGTCAAGTTGTCGAAAGATAACTCTATCAAGGTCGAATGGCAAGCGAGTGGGCCACCTGATCCGAATACGATGGCTGTTGCTCCCGACTTCCCGATGAATAGCCTGCCGGCAGTATCAAGTTACGGTGTGGCTCATGATCGTGCGAGGGGAGCAAACCGCGATAGTAGTGGTAGAGTGGGGATGAACTGGATGAGATGGGATAACAAGAGCGGTGTTCGAGCTCAAGTGATGCCCGCACAGCAAAATCGGCCAAGGGTGTGGTAGGATAAGATTGTATTGCCATCTCTATCGCTTTCCAGTGAGTATGCAAAGACGCTTGTTCAGATTTCTCAAACCAATGTACGTTCGTTCGAGAATGCACATCTACACAGATCTATGATGAGCCTACGGAAGGATCATTCTGCGCATGCTTGAATCTGCTCAGCACCCCACAAACCGGCGCTGTTGGAACAGCGCCATTCTCGACTGCTCTCGCGAAAAGCATTAATTCACTTATCACCCACTGCAACAAGCGCGAAAATGGGGAAAGACGGAAGAAGTCGATCTCGATATTGTTTGCGCGTTGGCGCTTGGTATGCGTGTGATGCTTGCCTCGTTACAGCTGTAACGAGAAGCCGCTCTGGAATAGGTTCTAAGAATGGTGAGAGGCAATTCATTTACTCAGTATATGGTATTTACCATCAAATAGTCTTGAGCGCTCAGCTAGCATTTTCCAAAACCGATTCTTTCAATGAAGCATCCTTTGTCAGTCAATCCCCGCCATGCTAGTGTTGTGAAGGCAAACAACCCCGAACCGATCAAGACCCAAGGGAGCCAGTCCTTCAAGTCTGTTGTGTTTCCATCGTCGACAGCGGCTGGCGGCAGAAACAAAACGCTCCGACAGATAGGGCAGATATGACCACCGGGCGAGTTGATGATTGTGAAGAGGCAGGGGCGTCCTACGATGTGATCACAGGGTCGGAAGCGTATTCCAGGGTGGCTGCTGCCGTTGTAAGGTTCCCAGCAGTAGCAACATTTGTTATCGTTAAATTTGTCGGTGGCTTTTGCGAGGAGGATGCGTGTTTGAAGGAATTCTTCTTTCGTGACGCCGCGACGACTGAGGATGGTTTCAAGCATGATGTGGTTTCAGATGGGAACCTAGTAGAATCAGTTGACTTGAGAAAATATAGCATGTAAGTTGTGCGGCTAGGCTGAGTAAATGGTGGGTAGACGAGAGCGCGGTATAGCACTGGAGAGGTTCGGTACCGCGCAACCAGTCTTTCGAATCAGACGAATGAAAAGTGCACCACATGCGAAACTTGGTTGATGATTGAGTGGATCTGCGAGATATGATTGGAAGTACAGCCACGGAATAGCTTATTAGTATGATGAACATAACAATATCCATTCTTCGAGTGATACCAGAGTAGACGTGGAAGATAGTCGACATAACTTGCGAGAGCGATTCAGAATAAGGTACGCAGGAAATATATCTAAGATTCCTGTTTCTAAGCACGAACCATGATGGAGAATCAATCGCTTCGTGAAAGTACATGCATGATAAGTCGATACCTTCAGATGCCCGAAAAGACACCTGATCAGTAAAAGCCCACATGCTACATCCAACACTATACTTGTCTGCTGCTCTACTGTGGATTTCAGAGTTATATCGTACCATCTCACTATTTAATAGCTTTCTATCCGTGTCTCCCAAAATCATCTCGAAGTCTAGATTTTCCACCGACTCATAGGTTTCTACCGACTTCGGGATTTTCTACCCGACAGTTTCCAGCTTGTTGATGGCGCTCAATGATACTATTGTTATATTGAATACCATGGAAACTGCCCAGAAATGGGGCGTCAAAACCAGACCCGTGATCAATCCGAAGATAGCACAGTCCCGCCGACTTTTGAGGTGACGGTGTGCGCCTTGTGTGAATAGAGTGTAGACTATGAACACGATGAACACTACTGCACATAGCAAAGTATCCTGGTGTAGGCTCAACGGAGCCACAACTATGTCCATCGCGGTTGACCTTGTTGTTCGAGTTAAAAGGTAGTAGCAAGTGAGAAAACAGAACCCGTCCCATTTTCATATTGTATCTTCTGAGACATGGCACATGGCAGAACGCAAACCTGGATTTCTTGCATATATGCCGGTGAAATATCGGATCAAGTAGTCGATTTGGTGACGCAAATTGACTGCGTAGAATAAAAAGCGTCCTATGAACAGCGCCCAAGGCGGAAGTTTAGCTTCGATCTTGTATAAGGTGAGCCTGATCGAAGTTAACAAATTTACCAAGGGGTTTACAAAGAAGCGATTGTGAAGTCGTAACATAAGAGGCAGAATATCGGTCCGGAACCATGGAGATCGACAGATAGGACAAAGATCACCGGTCGGGCCCTTGGTTATTTCTGGGAGACAGTCGCGTCCGAATACGTGGCCGCAAGACCGCACGCGAGCAGCAGGATGGTCTTCGTCATATGGGCCCCAGTCTAGGCGAGTCAGCATATGTATCACATTGCATTACCAAGTAGTACGTACACCAAATGCATTTGTTATCGTTGAACTTATCCTGGTCGCTAGCGCGGACGACATTAAACATTCATATTCTTCTTCACGTTACCATTACGCAACTGCATTACTACTCCCGTCTCCCTCAGGCTTTCAACGAAGTTTCGACCCGTTCCTCAGACCAGAGCAATCATGTTCACCGTCTCGAGAACAACTTTCCTCATGTTTAAAGGAGAGAATACAAGGAGGCCAGATATATTGAATAGCGAAGCAAACAGTCGTGTGAAATGCAAAGCGTAATCACTTCACAGCATGATCACAACATGAATGAACTGAGACCTGACGATCGGTAATGCATCAGTGATTGGTAAATCTTGGTTAAAGGAGACCTGCCCTCTGGAATGCATCGCGAGAAATCAACTCAGTCATCGAAGACGTCATGGCCACTTCGTGAGTCCAAGCAGATGTTGCTCCCGGTACCTCTAGACAGTGGGTGAGAGCAGGACAGGTAACGCGAAGGACAAGATGATGAGTGCGGCAAGCATTCGAGGAGATGGACGGGTCCCACGTGGATTGGCGTCACGGGCGCAGTTTTAGCCGACGCTAGCGCGCCGGCGCGCGAGCTACAAAACCCCTCCAAAAATGTTTCTTGCTTCTACAACGGCCTGCCTTGCCAACGCTGCGTTTCTTTGCACACATACAGACTCTCCTCACGGAGCTCGTCCTACCCTGCAAATGAGAAATTCGGAGTAATCTTCACCATCATCAAGCCCTCTTGTGGCTGTACTGCTCGTAAGAGCCTGGCGTGACTCACGTCTGCATCCGGCATCAGAAAACTCAGGGCCCAGACAGCGCGCTCCCACTTCGGTGGGAGTGTTGTGGAACTGGTGTCCCTATGGGAGTCGGTGCGAAGATTGTGTGCTTCGATCCTTTGGGAGAGAGGTGACACTGTAGTACAATACGCAGCGTACTTGACCTTGAGTAGCCCTTGGGCGAAAGAGGGCACGGTATCATTCGATTCTGATTACTCTGGCGAGGCAGGCCGTTCACTTTTTTTCACTATGTAAGTGCGCAATGTGCGCGATCTACTCCAGTTCAAGGATACTACTGACAAAAAACCATGCGAATTCACCAAACCTGAACGACCACATGTTGCGCGATCCTCCATTCATCCTCCGCTAGAATTGTCTACTCTGGCTCTGGTGCTGTGTCTTTCTCCATCGCGTACATGATGTCCGTCCGTAGCGTATACTTGGTGCCCTTCACAACGTCGTCACCAGAATGTATAAGGTAGCGATGCTGGAAGAGCAGGACGCGCCCAGCCTTTGGCTCCACGTCGATACGTTGGTTCATGCGACCGTTGAAGAATGTAGTGGCGCCGCCTTCGAGCTGCCTTTCTCCAGTGCTCAGTACTGCATCGTTCAGGTAAAGGTGCAGGGTAAAATATGAGCGCTCGGTGCGGTCTGGCGTCTCGTACGTGCCATCACAATGCGCTGACTCAGTTAGTAGCTGCAATCTTAGAATCCAATGCAAAACATACCTTTGAAATACTCTCCACCAGTGTACTTGAGATAGCGTCCACGCTCATTCAGTCTCGTTACTTTCCAAGTCTCTCCTCGTTTCGCTGGACCATTGCCTGTGACAAGCGCCCAGTTTTGCAAGCGATGGATTTCAGGCACCGACGCCTCTATTCTTTCCCATAACTTGGCCATGATGTCCTTGTTGTCCCAGATGATCCGACCGCACTTTCTCGTGTCTTCATACATGGCTTGCATTCCGCCCCCAATGTTCACCATGGCTCTCTCCCACGTGCCGTTAGTAGTCGCTTCTGCTGCTTGTATTAAGGTGTTGCACTCGTCCTCAGACAGAACACCATCGAGTATGACGGCCCATGCATTCTCGTTCTCTAGTATTCCAGCCTTTCTGAAATCGATTTTGGACTTTGTTAAATTGGGCGCTGGGCCCTCGAGGAATCCATTGGGGAGGGCGAATGTGGAAGGGGCAGGGCTGGACTCGACGGGTTCTCGACGTTTCTGAGTGCGAAGAAGATCCTCCTTGAAGCCCGCAGGCAATATTTTGTTAGCTGCCATTGTTGGTATTATCCGTGTAGTGAAACTTCGAATCGCGCGCAAAGGAAACATATATCAAAATCAAGTGCAGTGCTTGCGGCTATGTAAAGGTTGCGCCGGGCTGTGAAACCGGTCAAAGCCTCCTAAGGCTGCTGCCTTGGGGTAGCTTCGCCTCATGTGGACATCAAGTGGCTAATGTGCTATCTGTGACTCTTGTTGGACATGTCAGGCAAGATCATGTGAGATTTCCTGTACAGGACTGCTCGTCTTATACACTGGTCGCACTCGCAGAAGCAAGCAGTAGCTTCGAACGTCGACAGATGCCTCTACTGGACTTGAAAGACGATGATCGCCAAAAGGAAGTCCATGGCTTGTACAAGCGCATTGAGTTGCGATGGCAGACGCGACTGTCTGCTTTCCGAGAGCGCCCTCCAAGTTCCGTTCATCATCGTCCTCAACAGTTGCCATTTGAGGCTGTTGGTGAGTGATGGTGTGGCAGGGATCATCACGTGAAGATGGCAGTTGCGGCCCTTCTCGACCTGCCTCGCGTTTCAGGAACACGGACTGCATCATTCCCGCCCCATCATCATCATCATCACCATCGGCAACACGCACAATTGATCCACGGGCTCATCTGAACGACTCGGACGCGCATAGGTAGCCGACGGCAGTTTCATGTGACTTGTTGCTTCTTATCGTCACCCCCCCATCGTGCAGTGCGCGACTCAACTCCATCGCAAGCCACTGCCGCTCGCTCCACCAACCGTCGCGCCAAGCTAGAGGTGCCGACCTCACTCCTAATTTCCCGCCTTCACGCCAATTTGGACAACACGTCGAGGCGCACGCGACGCCCAGAACACACCTCTCCCCCACAGCCATACTCGTCGTCGCCTGCTTCTCTCCAACTCCCACCACGTCGTCCCTAGAGCTCCGACCAGCCCGACCGTCAAGCTCCCCGTCGTTTGCTCAGCAACCACAGCACTAGTCAAGCAAACACTCGCCGGCACGCCGGGCGCCAGCCCTACGCCAGACCCTGCGTCTATCGATAACTGCCATTATCCACGTCACAGCGACCATTGTCGCGCGCCTCTCGTTACCATAGTACATCCCCGGGCCGACAGCAATCATGTCTTACGAGGACCACCACGATGCTCAGTACCAACCCGGGCAAACGCGCAACCGTTTCCCAACCCTGTTCGAAGTGCTCAGTCGTAAGACGACAGCACCGCTAGACCTCTTCTCCTTCTACATCTACATGCGAGACCAGCAACGGTCTGTCGACTACTTGGACTTCTGGTAAGCAAACCACCCGGCGTCGGGGTCCGCGGACGAGGCTAACAACCATCAGGCTCGATGTATCTCAACACCTGCAGCTATGTCGGCTCTATGTGCGACGACTACACAGGAGCATGATTGAGGAGACACCAGATCTTGAGAGGAATTCCAAGCGTTCGTCCTACATATTGGACAACGCTGGAGAAGGCCCTTCTAACGAGAAAGCAGACAACATGTCTGACCAGCGCTTGTCTGCCTTTCTTCGTTCTGACCACCCAAGCCGAAACCACTCTCCACAGAACAGTCAGGGTAGCAATCAGAGCCGCGAGTTCCAGCGTCCAAGCCTGAATTTACTAGATACCCCAGGCGATTCGAGCTCGCCTGGCCAGAACTCATCCATTGACAATTCTCAACCACGGAGAGAGGATTTGCGCGCATCGGCCGAGAAGATCTTGTACACCTATCTGCTTCCTGGCTCAGAGAGAGAAATCATCATTCCCCAGAGCATACTCGCCGAGGTACAAGAAGCCATTGAGGGACAGGAGCAGCGCGCCGATCCTGAGCTTTTCGACAATGCCAAAGACTACGTCTTCCAAGCCATGGAGCGCGACGCATATCCAGGTTTCTTACAGAACAAGGGCCTCGGCAACCTCGTTCCTCAGAGTATGATGCTGCGTCTGATTCTAGGTTTGATCAGCTTCTTCGCCGCTGTATGGACGTCGTTCATTCTCATCTTCTTGGACAAGTCAAGAGGAACACGTTGCTGGGTATGCAGCCGCCCGCTGTTTTGTTTGGAATGTCAACTAACGCTGTATGCAGATCATACTTCCATTCACCATTGCTATCTATCTCATCTTTACACATCAGTACATGCTCGATCCCATCATCGCCATTGCCGGATACAGCGAGTACACCTTCTTCGACTTCAACAAGATTAGGGAGCCGTTTGTCAAGAAGACATTGAACAGGCGCTCGCTCACTGTCCTGGTTATGTTCTTGGCCGTCACAGTAGCTATTTGCTGCCTCTTCATCTTCGTTCCCGGTAAGCGCCTGTGATTCAAGGCGGTTACACGGTCTTTTTGTGGTATCCGATGTAATGTTTGTTTATTGTTTCTGGCGTTTTCAGCTGCACAAAATGGGATCAGTCCCGGAGGTGGTGGAAGGAGAAGCGCGGAGGTAATTCAAGGACCAGCGGGGACATGGAGAAGATACCCCCTCGCTTCGTCGCCGTACGACCTACAGCAGGATTTTCTTTTGTTTTTGAAGCAAATCTTGAATTGAGCATGTTCTGGTTATGGAGGGCTGTTCTCAGTCTGGAGCATGGCGTTGGGGCGTTCATGATGAGACATCGAACAGCGAGTGTCAATCGAGATAGAGCACCCAATATATGATAGTATTCTTCAGCAATGGCTAGATGACATGTGAAAGTAGTCAAGCGCCAGATGTTTGGCGAGCCGTTGGCATGTGGAGTGGAGCTGCAAGGCTGCATGCACGCCAAGGCGCAATGACGTGAAGCGCGGCCGGGTTTGACCAGGTGGAATTGTACCTCGACGTCCATCATCGGCCAAGGACGCGCCGCAACAGTCGCAGTGTGTCGCATCCCTATCCAATCACTTTGCCGAGCGTGCACGATCAGCGTCTCCCAGCTCTCCATTGCTCGTGACTGCGACATTGGCGGTGCCAACCTCTCGTTCAACTACGGCCACTAGCGGAGTGGATTGCAGCAGCCAACAAAATGAGCGGACCAACAGCTAAGAGCAAGAGAGGGCCGACTGTGCTCATGACAGATGCCCGCGACACGGCACCTCGAGCACCCCAACGACCAGGCGTGGGGCAGAGACAGGCGACGGGCGCGCGATTGATCTCGGTCGACAACATCCTGCAGTACGCCTCGGACATTCCCTCGCAACAGCAGCGACGCGGCCCGCCTGGCAGCCGACCCATGATGCACACGCGCACTCCCAGCGGACGGCATCCGCTCGACCCCAGACTCTCCGGTCGCCTGATACCCCAGCACATGCCCACCCGATCGAGCAAGCTCAGCGAAAAACTCGTGCTTCTGCCCGAGACGGCAGGACAGGACGACGACGAGAAGGGCGACTTTGACCAAGACGAGTACGAAGGCCCGCCCACCGACGAAGACCTCGCGCGACGGACCCCCAAAGGCGGCCCCAACGACAAGAGCTATGCAGAGCGACTGCCCAAGGCCAAGCGTACGGACAAGCTCTCGCGCGTCACCGCCTACTGCACCGCCCAAGCCTACAAGATGAAGAGCACCGCCCAGTTCGTCAAGGACACACACAATGCCCGCACCAAGCTGTACGACGACTGTCTCTACACCGTCTACCATCTCCCGCTGTTGCCCGGCAGCGACGGCTACCGGGTGCGCAGTAGCCCTGCGCTCAAGAGCCCGGGCGGAAAGACGGTGCTCGACGAAGAGATCGAGCGCAACGAGCAGCGCGACCACCACGAAGGCTACTTTGGCGACGACGAGACCTACTACGTACGCGACGACCACGAGCTCGACCAACCCTGGGACGGCATGCACCATCGCCGAGACTCGACCGAGAACTCCAGAATTGCGCCCAACGCCCTGACCTTTGGCGAGATGTTCGTCTTCTCGTACGGCGTCGTAGTCTTTTGGAACTTCACCGAGAAGCAGGAGAAGGACATTCTGGCCGACCTCACATTTTCCGCTATTGCTACCGGCATCTCCATCGCAACACGACCCTTGACCGAGTCCGACTTTGAGACGGAAGAGTTCCATTTTGAATACAACCCAGAAATCCAGCGCCCGCGTGTGTACAACGACATGATTACGCTCAAGAGCGGGGATCATATGATCAAGCTAGCCATGAGCCACGCCATTGCACAGAGCACCAAGCTAAGTCTCTTCGAAGAAGGTATGAGCCGGACCATGCTGGCTGCGCAATACGTACCCAAACGCTTAGCGTTGACGGGCAAACTGGGCATGGGCAGGACAGACGTGGTCAAGATGATTGGACAGCTCTTCACCAGCCGTGTGGAAGTGAATCTATGTACGTGTCCAGTCCACTATTTCAACCCCTCGTCCGTTACTGATGACCCTTGTAGCATCGAATATGCTCGACACTCCAAGCTTCTTCTGGGACTCGGAGCCTACCCTCCATCCGCTATATACCGCTGTGCGCGAATACCTCGAGATCAAACCCCGTATCCAAGTTCTCAACGAGCGCTGCCAGGTTTTCCTTGATCTGGGTGAGATTCTATCTGATTCCATTAGCGATAAGAAGATGACCAAGATCACGTGGATTGTCATTGCGCTCATTGTGCTGAGTATCTGCATAACGTGTCTGGAAGTGCTTCTCCGATTCGCCATTCTACAAAAGGGTAGGACTAATGTTCCTGTTGCTGGGGATATGGAAATTAGAGGGATTGGAGGACTTAGGGGAATTGGTCCGCCTGCCTATGCTGGACCTGGCTTGCTCGCTGCGAGAAGTTTGGTTTGGGTCGGTAGTGGAGTCAAGGGTCTATTGGTCGGCTGAGTATGAGTTGTGGTGCATGGCAAAAAAGGTGACTAGCTAATTGGGGCTATGGAGTCGTCATGTTAGGCATGATTCTTGGATTGTAATACTGTTGGGACCGTTCTTTTGTCATCATCTTAAGCATTAGCGATGGGCGTTTCCTAACTGGCGCAAAAGGTACTACTGGGTCCTACTGACCCTTGGAATGAATTTGAACTCTTTTCAATCTCTGAATCCCATCGTTTCTATTCATTCCTACCTTTTCAGTACCAACCATGAGGCTGCTGACCTTCTTCCTTAACCCCGTCGCACTCACAGGCTACGTCCTTCCTTGCGTAGGCGCCCACAAAGAAAGCAAAGCCGACCGCATAGCAGACGTGCATAGGAACTTCGAACCCCACACATGGGAGCAACAAATAGTAAACCGCATGGTATGTTGCGCTCATATACATATTATATGTCAAATGCAGACTAACTTTTCACGACGAAACTTTTTAGGTCTTTAAGTATTCCCTTGATGATTTCATGGTCATGTGGAAGAGACGTGTGGGAGAGTACGGATTTACTAATCTATCCTGGCGGAGTGACGCCTGTACTGGTGTTGATGATTCGCCATTTGGCTGGGACTGTAAGTCGTGCTTTAATCCTGAGTTTGAACTATATGAAGTAAGAAAAAAAAGGACTAACATACCGAAACTCAGTCAAACCAGCTTGTATACGCCATGATTTCGCGTATGAGAACTTTCGGCTTCAGCATCGGCTCAGTCACGTAAGCTTTTCCCGATCTTTTCATGCTTGCTTTCATTATCTTAATTTCCTGGTTATATGACTAATAATGTTCTCAGGAAGCTCGTAAGAAAATCGACGTCCACTTCAGGGACGACCTCTACTATATCTGTGAAAGGCGTTCCAATACCAAGGCCTGCAGGGTGTCAGCCAAAATCTACTACGCCGGAGTCAGGTTGTGGGGCAAAAACCAGGAGAATGCGTTTTTCACCATCAACGCTATTGTCGCCAACGACGCCCCTGTGAAAGCTTCCGACAGTATCTCCACGACAGCTGCCACCATCAACACAACCTCCGAAGATACTAATACTACCAACACCACCCACACGAATACTGCTGGTCTCGACGATGCACAAAGAGATATTCGTAGCAAAGAAAAAGTTGCTATCATGGCCTGGCTTGGCGAACTGACGCATGCAGAGCTGCTGATGGAAATGCCAGAGATGCATTTGGAGTATTTAAGCAAGTCACTCGATGACTGGGTGGAAGCCATTGAGAGAGTGTGACACGAACAAGAGACTGTGCAATCACAGGACGCGCAATTACGTCTCAATCTGTAATTGATCCGTCGTGTTCGATAGAACGAGGGAGTGACTGCTAGACAAATCCCATCCTACCCTACTCCTTGTCCACAGCAAAAGCCTTCAAATCATCCATACTCACCCCTTTCAACGCCTTCTCATTCGTCGCTTTCATGACAACCTTGGGAACCTTCTTGTCATCCATGCCTGTCCTAGCATCAAACGCCTCTTTCCACCTGTTCACACAAAGGCACCATTTGCAGCCATCCGTAAGTCCTACTTGACGCAAGTCGTTGCCACGTGCGGCAGAGAAGTCGAGGAACTCTTTTGACACGATACCTGCTATGGCGTGGTTGCCAGCATCTGATGCGGGTACCTCACAGTAGCCTGAGCGGGTGAATCCGGTCAAAGACTGTGTGGAGTGAAGCGCGAGGGGTTGCTTGAAAACTAGTGTAAAGCGTCAGTGAGTGAGTTCGTGGAACTGGGTTCTTACGATTTGTAGCAACAAAGATGCGTTCATCGTATAGGTCGCAAACAACAACCCCCCCAGCTTCTCTCGTCGCACTGCATAAACGGCGTGACGTTGGGGGCGCTGAAACGCGTGCCTGGAGATCTCCCCAGTCCAACGACGAAACTGTTTCATGCAAATGAACAGGATGCAGCCATGGTGTAACCGTTTGGACTCGAAACATCCGGAATGCCCAATGCACAGTTCTGATACATGGTTCCCCCCCCAATACCCAATCACAACATGTACATACCGTTCAAAGACATATTGCCAGCTTCTTGCTCTTGCTTTTTCCCGCTCTGTGCTGGTACTCTTTCCCACTTGATCTGCACGTCGTGAACGTGAGCAAAGTCGCGTTTTGGAGCGTTACGTGTGAAATTGCTAATTAGATTGCGTAGGATCCGCATGAGGGAGAAGGAGAGCAAACGTAGGTTATACGTTTATGGTTCGTGAAATGTGGTGCTCAAGATGGCGTCAAGAAAGTGCTAAAGCGGAGATTTAGCGCGTAGGGCTGGATGGATGACGTTTGCCAGGGGTGCAGCTGCCGCAGATCCCCAGCCATGGGGTTGCCCGATCGGCTGTTACACCATGGTAGCCGCCGCACAGGTTTGCCGGGTTGCGGGCCTCGGAGGGGCGCGATCGGCAATGCGCTGATCTAGACTCTATCATGCGACTGCGTGGATCGGTGGGAGTGTCGAGTCTATCGCAGTAATTATTCCTACATGTCTTGAAATGTTAGGCGGAACTTTTCTGCAGGTTACGGCCCTTTGATCGAATACGAAGCGTCTGGCGCTAGTGAGGTTTTGTCAGCACTCGTGGTCGCCAGTGGGTCATGGTGGCAATGTGCATTTGGGAATTCACGTAATATTAGAAGACATTTGGTGGATTGTGTTAGACAGCATTGATTCGTGAGTATTCGAGATTCAGATGCTACACTGATGCGGAGGTTGTAAACAACTTTTTTTCCCATGACCAACGGCATTAAAAACTCATCGCGGTCGTGAATGTAGCGAGCGATCATAACGATCCATACGTATTGATAGACGTAGAAAGAGAAATAACTATGCAAGACACCATATCCCCAATGCATCCTTCACAAGTCTTGCCGTACAAACGCCATTGATAGGAAAGATCCGAAACGCCTTTTTGGGTATGCAAATCGCCGCCATTCTTGTGGGACTGGTAGGCCGTGGGTATATATGCAAGCTTTACTGTGGTAAATCATGCGCGCTCTAGGCGCAGTGTCGTAGACGACAGGGTGGCGTGAGTCTTCATCGGTGCACGCCGGCACTAGCCTTGATTTCTTTCTTCATCTCTTCAAGCTTCTTATGCATCTTCAGGAGGTCGTTCCTCTGTGCTTCAGTTGGCGGTTTCTCCGCTTCAGTCAGCTTCCAGTACAGCTCTTCGTATCTCTTGTAGTACTTCTGAAACTTCTGCGAAAGCTCGACAGTTTGGCGGAAACTCAAGCTGGGCATCGAGGGTGAGGTAGTCGAGGTGGATGAAGCGCCTGGAGATGCGCGAGGGTTGTTGTGATGATAGCGCGAAGCAAGGCCGGTGTCGATGTTGGCAACCTTGCGGACCTTGGGCGCGGTAGAGGGGGTGTTGGACGAGGATGAATCGTCAGACTTCCGCTTCACGGAGCTGGTACTGGAAGGCGTAGAGCCAGTGGCTTTGCTGTTGGCATGCGATGGTGTGTGGGTTGCAGTCGAACGGTCGACATGCTGCTTCTTTACGGCGAGGTGATTGTGGATATCACTGTCGATATTGTTGGCCTTGCGCTTGAGCGAGCTGTCCGAGTTGCCAACAGCGGTTTTGGCGGGCGATGGAGCGGCAGCAAGAGCTTTGTGAACTGGGTGCGAGTCCTCAAAGTCGCTGGCATTTACAGGCGGTGAGGCAGAAAGCGGTGAAGGATTCTTGGGTTTGGTGTTGATTGGCATGGTAGGCTTGAAGGGCCTATTGGTAGGACGGTCCCTCTGTGACTCGCGGCCAGACATCTTGGGCTTCGCACGTGGGTTGGAGTTGCCTACGGGAGCAGGTACTTTCTTGGTGCGGATTTCTGGAGCGTCAGTACCAGGCATGCTGGGCTTGGAAGGAGCGACAGGGCGAGGTGTTGAGTTGGAAGGTGCAGAAGTGGTTGGAGCGGTAGCCGTGGGCGCCTCCTTCACTTCTTTCACATTCACCGCGGCCTTTTGTTTCTCCTTCTCCTTCTCCTTCTCTTTCTCCCGGGCCAAGTACTTTTCCTTGATGGACGACTTGGGCTTGATCTCTGGCTCCTTTGCGACCTTGGGCTTCTTCTCGACCGCAGGCTTATCAGTAGCCTTCTTTGCAATGGGCTTCTTCTTGGTAAGGTCTGAGATCTTGTGCATGGGAGTGCTTGCTTTGGCCTTGGGCTTGGCTTCTGGGGCCTTGACGGTTGAACGCGACAGGCATATGCCCTGGCCTCGCTGGTCTCGAGGGAGCAGAATCTGCCAGAGTTTGTCGTCCTTGGCCAGGCGCTGGCGGTCAAAGGATTTGATTGCGCCATCAATGGCTTGCTGGCGGTCCTCGGGGCTCTGGTAGGGGAACTTGAAGGGATTCACCTCGCGGAACGACTTGTCTGTCAGCTGCCATTTGTCGGCATCGGCCGTGGAGCGTTTGGCTATTTTGGGCAAGACATCCCTTATGATGGCCAAGGAGGTACGGCAGGTGGCGGCGAGAGAAGCTTCGGTGGCTGGCTCGCGAGCCAGGAGGTGGATGATGGGGACCCTCAGGGCGCTGACAATGGTGTCGTGGCTGTTGCTCGGCTGCGACGTGGGTGGGCGCTTGTGCATGGGCGAGGAAGGAGCGCTGAGCAGGGGCGAGCCCATCATGGAAGGAGCGAGGTGTGCCTTGAAGCCCGTCGAAGGGAAGCGACGATGGGCTGGTGTGCGGCTGGGAGCAGCGTCGCCAACAATAGTCCTGCAGCAATCTCGGTCAGTCCTGGTATACACAACTTTGTCTCATCACGACATGCATCTGCGACAGGGGTGCTCGAGTGTTTCGACGTGATGTCAAAGAGCGTGGGCAGCCATGGGAATACCGGGGAGGCATACTTGTTGGCTTCCTTGAACTCTGATATCGCTGCCATGTTACTCCTGAGCTGCTCCAGCGCCGAGTCTACGCCTGCCGTCACATCTTCGGCCTTGTGTACCAGGAGGCTGTGGTTGATCAGACCAGCAAACTCGAGGCTGTCGTCGCTACCAGCCCCGCTGGACTTGTACAGTTCGTATCGGTGGAGTTCGGTGCTGCTCTGCAGCATGTGCGTCTTGTCGCCGTACTTGAGTTGCTGTTGTTGTGGTTAGCCCAGCTCGCGCCTTTCCCAACCCCCAAGCCGAACCACGCATGACGGGGAGCATGGCATCAACTGTGCACACATACAGGAGTCCGTCCAAAGATGATCTGCGGCGATTTCCCGCTCCTGACTGACTCTAGGAGCTCATCGACAATGTCTTGGGTAATGTCCACCTGCATGGCCTGCACAGGCGGTTGTTTGCCGTCCTTAAGTCCGGCGTCACTATCCGGAGCCCCGACAAGGGCAATGCCGCCCGAGGAAAGCATCGAGGTTGCCATGTTGCTATCGCTCGCCGTCTATCTTGTGAAGAGAGGTGGAACAGGCGTGAAGCTCGCACCCGAATGTTGCTAGGAGAAGCAATGCATGGAGAGAGCACCCAGGCACTGAGCGGAGAGCAAGCAGTGCTTCCGGGTTCGAAGCAGAGGCCCGTCGCAGAGGTCTCTGGTGTTTGGGTAAGGCGTTGGTAGGTTCGAGGAGGACGAAGGAACGAACAAAGGGCGCTCTCGGAGGACCGTCAGACAGGTCAGACTGTCACTGTCATAGCGCGCCCGGAATCCAGCGAGCAAGCGTGCACGGATATCAAGGTACGGTGCTGAAACGATTGGTTGACACGCAGAGGATGAACGGCTGGGTGAACCAGACAATACTATCGCAGCAACAATACAGTCTACTCACACACACACACGAGTGAAGAGTGGTAAGCTCGACGGAAGCTGAGCGGGTGGTAGTGTTGGGCGAGCTCGCATTCCTCAGAAGGCGGTGGTGCCGACCAGGGCGGTCGAGGCATAGCACGATTACGCTTCAGGGTGCCAAATCCAGCGGCGGCCCGCTTGCAAGGTACCTCGTGCTACCTCAATCTGTGGCCGCTGCAAGGCATTGCCATACACGCCCACTGGTCCCATTTCGTTTTATTAAAACAAGCGTCCTCTTCATAAGACGCTTCAGTTCTCAGCAGAGGCGAAAAAATCTATCTAGACCACCAGTACCCGATTGCAGACGTCCATGTCCAGCACGTACTGCGCCATATGCCAACACGCTGACCGACCGACGCTGCACGGTGTGCTGAGTCTGGCAAAGCCTGGGCGGGCCCACCATCACTCGTGGCAGAACTGCGGGCAGCAAATGGCTATGCGTTTAAAAACGACGGGCGCGGAATTTGGGAGCCGGGTGCTCCAGGCAGGGTAGGGCATGTGCTGTACCTGTTTCGAGTCCGACCTGCCCTGTCCGTGTTTGAGACCAAAGCATTACCATGCCTCACGTTGGCCTGCAATTGCCTTCTCCATCTTGTCAGTGAGGCTTTCTCATCCACCAAGGCGCATCGCCTGACCAGAAAGAAACCTCACGGGTTGAGGCTTTCGGTTGGGGGCATCGCGTCACCCGCGCTGTCATCCGGCGTGGCGGGTTCGGTGCTGCTTAGATCAGCTTCATCGGGAGGCGCCATAACAGGGTCATCCAAGCCCGACCTATTTTGGTGTCTGCGGAACCATCCACCGAGAGTGGGGAGCTTTGCTTCCTCGAACGACTCACTTGTGAAAGCTACCATGGCATCATCGACACTGTAAATACGAGCAACTTGGCAAGCTTTCATGAGTGTCTCAAGTCGACTTGACCGTGAACTACTCTGCTCGACAAAGTTTCCATACGAGTCGTGCCATCCTTTCTCAACACCCCACCTCTAGCAGTCAGCCACACTCTTGCGACTACGACGAACCATTCCAACGAGTGTGCGCCAGCAGACAGGCCCGATTCTATGATTCGTAGAGCGTCGTCGGCTGCAGCGTCAGGCGATATGGTGGACACTAAACCATAGACTAGAATCCGTCCTCGTCGGAACCTCGCGTCCGGTTCGGCGGCCAGTAACAATAACCGAATGCGTGAGCGAACAGGTTACTCGACATGTGCATGAGCAACCACGGCCGCAGACCGAGCAGCAGCGTGCGTTTGTGGTTGCTTCCATGCTTCCACTCTCCCGAGCACTTGCAGCAATACCAACGCTGACCTGCATACACAGTCCGTATCGCTTGATAGTGTTGCCTTTGTAACAAACACCGCAAGCAAACTGTGCGAACAGCTAATGCCAACGATCAGCATAGATCAGCTATCGGTTCCGAGCACACCGGATATGCAGAGCGTCTTCCAATATGGAGAGCTTGCGCCTTCTGGAAGGTATCCGAGGCATAATATCTGCACCCCTGACCCCGTCTTCTGGCGATATTGCCGTTGCGAAGCCATGGCGGGGTACATAGATGAGGTACCACAAGTTTCCGTCACAAGATCATCAAATGTTCATTGAAGTTGCGTACAACGATGTCAGTGCTGTTGCTTTTCGATCAGTTTGCCCCTCGTTCGTGCAACGTTGTCTCGAAAAGCAACGCATTGAGAGAATCTGAGATCGAGATTGCAAGCCACCGATCTAGCCCTCCAAAACGATTTTCCCAATCCCATTCAGCGACTATCCAAGCCCACAAACAAGTGCACTGGGGAAATTGGGTATTCGCCTTCCATTTAATTCGTGTTACCCGATTGAACCGGGAGTGACCACCATCGGATCTATTCTATTATCCTTGACAAATGAGGCTGATATCCACTCCGCAAATTCACTTTACTTTTCTCCGCGATTTGGCGGCACTGAAAGCCGCGCATCGCATCGATGACGGGATCTGAACAGCCCCTATATTGTACGATGAATTATTGACACAGAGAGTCTCGCCACAGCGAAAAACAATGTGCAATCAAGACTACGTCAGCACAGTCGCAGATTACTCTTCTGCTACACGACTGCAGGTCCGTATCATTTCCTGGCTACGCGCGCGACGCATACGAGTCCTCGGGAGATTGGGCGCCGGACAGTGACAGCCACAACAGCCTTGCACTGGATGTCCTTTATTGCTCGTGCCAACCTATAGGCTTTCGGGCACGCCTCAACAGTTGCGGCGGTATTTTATGGCGTCTCACCCAGACCTTCCCATTCAGCCTTCCCAAGGCCGAGTTTTCCCAGCCTTCCAAGCCCACTGCCACACCACCATTTCAGAGCGCCATCATGCACGCGCTCCGACCTACCTAGTCTCTATTTAGAAGTCCATAACGCGTCACACAGCTTAGATGATGGTAGCGGATGCCATTTCGGCGTCTACTTTCATCACTAGGGCCAAGTCTCACCGTTCGTCTAGAAGCTTTGAACATGTGGAAAAGCAAAGCAGGACTTAATGCCCTGATCGGCGATTTTAAGGTGATCAACTGATGTGCAGGTCGGGCCCTGGCGGCAGCGCTGGGCGCGTGGGCGTGTGGGCGTAAGGGCAAACTCCAAAGGTGTGTGACCCTGGTCTGATCCCGCGTCGAGCGGCAGTGGCGTGGGGCGAGCGATCTCGCTGGCGAGGCCACCATGGTTGGGTTGGAGACATGAGGCTCCCATGGTTTGTGCCGACAAGCAGTCATTGTTCCCGCTATATTCCATACTCTGTTTGAATGGACAGTTGTGTTATGTTTAGTCACTGCGGGTTTCTTGTGTGTTGGGGTGACGGCTAGAGATGGTGGTGCGATAAGCAGCCACTTGCTGCATGGTACTGCGACACGACTCAACAGAACATGGGCAACAAGACACGCTCTGAGTTGGAGATTCGTTGTAGGTATTCGTGAAAGTTGAAGACATAACGGATAGGACATGAGCATGAAGGACTGCAAGCATCTTCTAACATTATCCCACGCCATCGCAATGCGAACCAATACAAAGCGCATGATGCAACTCCATGCCAAAGCCAAAAGACGTTCCGGAACGTCGAGGCCCTCGCTGTCTTGAGCGTGGACTCAGCCTTGGGGCGCACAGCTCGCCATTACAAGCCTTTTCGTGCCAGCGACAGTGACCAAAAAGCAAAATTCGTTTCATACCCCGACCGCTGAGTGCCAGGCGCATGTCGTCAAAGGTTGACAACAAGCATCTGGCCCGCGTTCAACGCCTCGCTCAAAACGCGCAACGACTGTGCCGTCAGGCGCGTGCCGGACCGAATGTCAGACGCACCGAGCCGCAAGGCAGCGCCGGATCAAAGTGGAAGTGGCGAAGGCACTCAGGCGTCCAGTTCCTCTGGTGCCTTGTGGCGGGCAAGAACGAGGCGCTTGTATTCAGCGGGGTCTTTGTCCCAGAGCTCTGCGGCCTGGCCGTTGAGCGGACTTGAGCTGTTTCGCTGTCAGTCAGCACATTCAGACTCGAGCCTTGACCTAGACCCGTTGGGTACTCACTTGTTTGGCTCCCCCAACAGACTCTGGAGACTCAGCAATACAGTCGTAATGTTGTAGATGGCGCTCCACTTGTCCTTCAAGATGTCCAAGCAGATGCGGCCCGAGAAGTCGACATTGGGGTGGTAGATGGGCGTCTTGTAGAGGACGGTCGGCGGGCTGTAGGGGTAGTTGCTGGCGAACTCCATGGACAGCTTGAAGACGAGGTTGGCGTAGGGTGTGTCGACTGGGCCGTCGATGGTGGCAGTCCACACGGTCATGTTTTCATCGTCGGGAAAGGCGGTTATGCCGGGTGTGGGCTTGGTCATAATGTCCATGAGCTCCTTCTGGAGACTGAGAGGGCGTCAGTAGGAGAGCAAGGAGTGGGGTCTGAACGGGCGGGATAGGGGACGACTGACCGCTGGGCGACGTTCGCGTTTGCCATTTTGTGCCGGGGTAACAATTGCGTGGGTGATTTTGTTCTATGCTGATGTCCAGACAGGTGGAAGGGGTGCAGGAGACGGCGAGTCTAATGCAGGCACGGCGTGTATTTGATCTTGTGTTGATTTCCCTGCGTCTGCCCGGCAACCACGTCCGGACACGTGGGGATCCCTGCACGCGTTTCCCCCGCTCGCTGCTAGACACCTCACAGCCAATCAGAGCGCGTTGGGTTCGCCTTCTTTCACCTTCGAGGTACGAGTGGTAAAAGTAGCGTAGGAAGCATACAACTATGCTCATCATTCTGTCAGACTCATCTGCATGCACTTGAAACACGACAATCAACAGCTCGGCATCTGTGCCAGCAGTGTCAGTCTTCGTTCAATCCCTTGACCCTTTGCTCCTCTACCAGTCTTCTCTCCAAACTACACCTCAATACCCTCTTGTCTTTCCCTATCCCTTGTTCCTTCAGACAGTCATCTTCCCTATCCCAGTATACGGCCCAGCCATACCCACCCTTTTCCTCTTCCACAGCAACAAGGCACTCCTCCCCATCCAAGGTCAGTCCCTGTTCATCTTCCGTCCAGTCCCAGGGTCCAACTGTGTGTTCCCTCGCTTCTGCACGTGGGCCGTAACGTAGTTCGCGCCTTGTCTTGTCTGCGTAGAGCCAATTGAGCTTGGGCTTCGAGGGCTTCGAGGGCGCTCTGTGAGCTATGGGGGATGGCGTAGAGGGTGCAGACGAAGCTGGCGATGAAGGTGGTGAAGACTGTGATGCTGGTATCGTGCTGACGAGACCCAGGACAGGTGCTGCAGGCATAGGACGGTGCGCCAGATCGGAAGACGGAAAGGGTAGATAGAATCCCGTGAAGGGGTGCGGTGCTGGCTCATCGTTTGGACCAGACTTTGGCAAGCCTGTCTCCGCATCTTTGGGCCAGAGCTGTATCTACAACCTTATTAGTCTCGTGCGCCGCAGAGCAGCTGTAGTCATGTACCTTTCCATCCTTCAGTACCACTATTGCGCCATGTACCTCATCTCTCTTTCTGCTCTTGGCGTCACAGAAAACATCTAGATAGAATTCTTCTTGACGCTCATCGCTTTCAGCTTCTTCATCCAGCAGCCGTTGCTGGTGTACTGCCTCGTTGGCGCCAATCGAGATGGGTATTCCCGCTAGTGTGAGCGCGTACATTGTTTTGTTCACCTTGGTAGATGGTCAATGGGAGAAATGACTGCACAGACAATGTGATCGACGAATGTGGAAGACATGTTGTGTCTGGTTGTAGTAAACAGGATGTCAGGCTGCGCAAGCTGGGATGCGGAGGTGGAGTTCGGCACGATGTTGTCATAGTGGGACACTGCAAGTTCGGCTAAACTTGCCATCTTGCTTGCTTGCTTCCTTCTTTCTTCCAGGGCTCAATGCTCCTTTGCCAGCTCCGAGCAACTACATTATACCTCACGCTGCATGTTGTATTTGAAAGCTTACGGGTCTGCATGCACTGCATTTCGTCATAACAACGTTTCACATATCACTTGACTGTGGTAAGAGCAAATGTATGAGACGGCAACTACGAGCAGTACTTGAGAACCGAGCAATTGCCTCTGAAGTACAAGTGGAAAATGCGTTTGCTTACTCCTACCACTCACACGCTCTCTACACTCGCGACATACCACATTCATCGTTAACCTGTCTATCGTTATCCAAGCACGACACCACGTTACACGGAATGGGCTCATCAGACGAAAACCTTTCCGGTACGGAGCCTCTGGACGAGAATTCTTCGAACCAGGAGCCTCCAATCGAGGGAGCATCGGATCTGGAGACGCTGGAGCGGGTACCACCAAGGCAAAATTCCTCGAGCATAGCACCATCAAGCATTCGGTCAGCGATATTGCAACCAGTCAGTACACGCCACCTTTTGGGAGCGAAATCGGACGAGCCGCTCTTTCTACCCGCCAAAGCACCACGACGTTAGTACCTCGGCTATCTACATCACTGGAAAGAATACCAGCGTAATGTGATACACCATTGGGAGAGTGCAGGTTGCAAGGCGGTTTTTGACGAACTCAAAGATCACGAAATGGATATGCCACGACCTGCAGCAACAGTCGACGGCGGAGACATTGTCGCCGAAGAAAACGACACCGCCAATAAAGACAGCGCAGTTAGAGATGCCAGTGTCGCTAATGAAGACAACGGTGGTGAATGTAGCCTTGCTGGCGAAGACTACACAGGTTCTGCAAAATTGGAAGACATGTTTCGACGCGAGGTGGCGGAGATCGTGGAGATGGTCTACAACGAAATGCTTACTACATGGATGATGAAACGATTGGGTGCTTATAGGCAACCGGAACGCATTCTACTTAGCAAAGCTGTGTTGGATCCCAAATTCGGACCCAAATTCCGGTTTCGAGCGAGACCTGTAGGTCAGAATATAGAGCCAAAGCCGAGACTGATCGGGCATGTAGAGTATTTGGGAGGGAGACCGGGAGCGTTGACCTGGGCCGTTAAGGAGGCAGACAGGAACTCTTGGGGGAGCCTGAGATGCGTACTGGGTAGGTCAATGGTCCTCATATGAGGATCTTTACTCACTATTGGCATAGGAGATGTAGCTTGGTGCATGCTGAAGATCAGCACAAGCTATGGTTTCCTCGTGAGCGGCGATGAGGTCATGTTTCTACGTCTCGATGTAAACACATGTATTGAAGAGGTTGACATCAACATACTCAAACCCGAACTGTCTCCACTATTCGACTGGGTCGATGTCCTGCAAGAGCCACATCTCTTCTACTCAGATCCCATCAAGTTTACCGATGCATTTGATTCAGCGAGGGGTATGATTACGGTGAAGATGGGTTTGTTGCATATGATCCACGAAATCGTAGTCAAGGATTGGGAGATGCAGGATAACAAAGGGAGATGCGCTGGGTATTTCAAGAGAACGGAGGCTGGAGAAAAATGGGTAATGAAGCCGCCGACGAGACGGTAGGAGGTTGAGCGATACAACTAGGATGTCTAGAATTACAGAAAGTATGCTACTTGTGAGTCAATGATACTGGCGATACCCGACTGGCGCGATGTTACGCTTCTCACCACCTCCTTGCAAACGAGTGCTGTTGGGTGAAAGTCAAAATTGGTTTATTGTTGCCTCGGTGTTCACACATAGCCGGTCAGGAAGATAGAAGCGAATCTCTTCCCGCCCATATCTAAAGCCTACCTATCCGTGCGTCTTATCTTGCTTGTGGCTTGCGTTGGGGTGTACCCAATTCCTTGGCCTCCCGCTCTGGCAGCGCGTTGCCTCGGAACTTATCTGCCTGCCTGCCAGCTGATTGGCAGCACTCGACAATCACAATATCGTGGGCGTGAAAGAAATGCATGGAATCGTCTGATCAATAGCGCCCAGCAAGATATGTCAAGACGATAGATTGAGGCAGACAACAGTGCCTCGGCTTGACGCAAACGTGAGATAGGATTGGTGGCAGCGACCGAGTTGTAGTGGTTGTGAAAGGTTCATGGGCTACAACCCAAGCTGTTGACGGTGCACATGTTGCACGAATGCGTGGAGCTAATTACGCGGTATCGGTACTCTGGAAATACGCATCTTGCAGGCCTCGGTTATTGGAATACCATCTCAATGCTGATTGGAGAGTCTCAGGGTCTCGTCGGAGAGCCAGAATCTGGGGAAGATTACCGATCAGGCTCCCAAGCACCGGGTTACGATGCGATGATCGCCACGTTCCAATCTTCTGGTAAAGGCTATCAGCAAAGTGTTTCTTCTAACTGTAATCCAGATGTAAGAAGAAGAGCGAATACATTGCATGCATGGGTGAACGGTCGACTCTGTGGCGTACACGATGGATCACTTGAGCAGTAGTCATGAATGCGTTTTACTACAATATCTGGTATTCGATTTCATACATACATGAGATGCTCGTTTTGGCTTTCTTGCGTCTAAGTTGTGTTGTGTCAAAACATGTGTTCGTGTATATTGTAGATCGCTGGTGGTGTGATTACGCCACGTCGTCAATGCTGCACACATGCAGAACATCCCTTGGTGTCAAGCCTAGTGACGGATAGCGAAGGAGTCGAAGGCGAGCCCTTTGTGCCCGCGGCAGGTTCGCGACAGGATCTGCTGGTCTAGGCTGGAGGCGTTGTTAAAAGTCTAGTCCTTGTGCGCTTATTAGCCGAAGGTGTGCATGCATAGACTTGTACTGCATTGTATTTTCTCACCAAGGATTCAGGCATTCGCGTCTTCTGGATCTAGTCCAGTATTTCACCGTTGTTCCACAAGCTGGAGCACGTCTGCTTCAATTATCCCTGTGGATGCAAAGTGAGGAACTCGGTTATGTGCACCAACCTCTTTCACTTGGTCGTCTTGCGGAGCTACGCGCACCGCAAGCGTCCGCAAGGAAATCTTGCTCTGTGTCAAGCATCCCGATAATGACCAGAATGACGCTGACAGTGTTCCGCCAAGTCGCCGGAGGCTTGGAACGGGAAATCAGTGCCAATGCCCCCTTGCTCGGATGCGGCTCGAAACCACATGCGCTGCGAAGCAAGCCGGAGGAGTTGCCTGCTCGGGACAAGGTCTAAAGATGAAAATGTGCCCATGTGGAGTTGTTACAGCGCCAGGGACGCCTGGTTACCCCGCGCGTGTTGTTGAAACGTGGTGATGCCGATCGCTTAATCTCTGGGTTGCACGACATGGAAACTGAACAAAGGAAGTGAATGTAAGTCGGTCCTTGTCGACTCTCCAGCTCTTGTTCCTGTGCGTAGCTCCGCCATGGCGGGCGACAAGAGACTAGTAGCATGCTCACAAGAAGGCTTCTCTCGTAGGTCATTTGGCTTGTTGTGGATCCGGAACGAACGGCGGCATTCGCTAGGATGCGGGGTCTCCACACGCCAAGCCTCTCCCCAGCTTTCCTCGCCCTTTTGGCTTTGTCCCGCAGACTTCCCTCTCCTGTTGGCAGGCTGATGCTAGGATCGTGCGGTCCTCAAAAGATAGCCACAGAGCACCCCGGACGAATGAGTGGTGGATCCCCGTGCCTCGGTACTTTACCAGCAGTGATGCTTCCCTTCCCAGTGCGCCCGCTGTGCTTGGCAGCGCGTGGGTGGGGAGGCGAACGGCAAGAGCTTTGGACATATAACGTGTTCATCGTGGGCCTACCCTGCTCCTGCTCGAACCCACTACATTCCCTCCTACTTTCCTAAGGGTCCACGACCAACATACGTATCCACCATGGCTCATCAAGAGTCTGTCATGCGTCACGACGACGCGTTCGAGAAGAGGCCGGTCTCGCTCAAGGAAAACATCGATGGCTCCCAAGATGGCTCCGGATACGAATGCGAGTTCAGTGAGCGAGAGCAGAGAAAGATCATTCATCGCATCGACCGACGTCTTGTCGTGACTGTCGGAGTGCTGTACTGCATCAGTTTGATGGACCGTACCAATCTCAGCGCTGCTGCTATCGCTGGGTTCGTGAATTGTGGAACCGAAGTTGCTCGGTGTAAAAGCTGACAGCCAACAGTATGAATCTCGATCTTGGCCTGGGCAAGCTAGAAGGCACAATATCTCGTTACTCTGTCGTCACCATCGTATTCTTCGCTTCCTACATCGTTTTCCAACCCCCGGCAACAGTAATTTGTCGCTACCTTGGACCCAGGAACTTCCTCTCGGTTATTGTAGTGCTATGGGGTGGTGTCATGATCGGCATGGGCTTTGCAGACAGTTACGGAACCATGTCTGCACTACGAGTTGTCCTTGGAGTATTGGAAGCCGGTTTCTTCCCAAGCTGTGTATACCTGCTGTCCACCTGGTGTAAGCATGCTATAGAAACCAACTGGCCGTTAGATGCTGACAATTGTTTCAGATACCCGATACGACATCGGAAAGCGGTACTCGTGTTTCTATATCCTTGGAAGTCTGGCATCTGCCTGTGCCGGTATCCTGGCGTACGGCTTGATGCAACTGAAAGGCCGAGAGGGTCTGAACGGTTGGCGATGTAAGTTGTTCCCAGGTTGCGCCCTACGTTGTGACAACACTGACGCAAAGTTCCAAAATTAGGGATCTTCATCATTGAAGGCGCGCTAACGTGCTTCCTTGGTATCGTCGGTTACTGGGCGTTAGTGGATTTCCCGGACAAGGCGCATAAGTCGTGGAACTTCCTGACTGAGCGCGAAGCTATGTTCATCATTGATCGTGTCAACAAGGATCGTGGTGATGCTAAGCCCGAGCCATGGTCTTTGGCCAAGTTCTTCAAGGGCGGTGCTGATATCAAAATCTGGGGATTCGCGATGGTATGTCCTCAGATTACCGTTTGAGTGCCAAGTATTGACAAGGATAGATCTTCTTCAACACAACAACTGTTACGTATGCGCTGGCGTACTTCCTGCCTATCATTCTGACAGGAAACATGGGCTTCAGCGTCGGCGCAGCTCAATGTCTTGTTGCGCCTCCTTACGCATTTGCCGCCATTGTCATGTACACAACTGGCTGGCTTGGAGACAAGTACCACCTCCGTGGACCCATTATTCTGTTCAACATGGTCCTCTGCCTCGTTGGTCTACCCATCATGGGCTTCCATAGCAACTCGAACGTCAGGTACTTCGGCGTCTTCCTGACCACTGCTGGCGCGAACAGCAACATCCCCGCCACAATGTCATACCAGGCAAACAACATCAGAGGCCAGTGGAAGCGCGCATTCTGTTCTGCCATCTTGGTTGGAATGGGTGGCGTCGGCGGCATCGCTGGTGGTCTCGTCTTCAGGGAACAAGACAAGCCTGGATATGAGCCTGGACTATACGCCTGCATCGCATGCTGCCTGCTTACAATCGTTATTGTCATTTTGATAACGTTGAGGTCGTGGAGCTTGAACAAGCGTGCGGATCGGGGTGAGATTGAGCTGGAATACAACGTATGTGCCTTCCATTCACAACCTCTGCGCCCAGATACTAATATGTGCACAGGATGATGACCAGAAGGGCTTCAGATACACTTACTAAAGTCGCACCAAGCGTGACCGATACAGTAATGACGATGCTCGTGGTGAACCGTGGGATTTACGTCGTTGGACCCATCTTCCAAAGCGGACTACTATACCAGTTTATCCTAACATCCACACATTAACGTTATCATGTTCCATTCTTTCGCGTCGTGCGGCACATGCCTTGTGAAATACTCAGATACTGCTTGGGTGTGATCGATTTCTGGACTAGCAAATCTGCAAAAGGGCTTGTTCATCGCAAAAGGTGCTCTCGCGATTTTGTCATAGTTATATGATGCTCAAGCAGCCTCGGGATCAGTAATCCGCTTCTTGGTGTTCTCGGCGGGCAAGCAGTACTGGCTGGTTCTGGCTGAGCCCCCCAGACCCATAACATAAAGTAGTAATCATTACAAGCGCTCGGGATGCAGATCACCCGAGTGAAAACGTACAGCACCAGCGATACAATCTCACCCATCAGCACGAAGGTATTCGTGGAAACGCAGTTACTGTCTCGACATTTACCGACTCAATGTCCTCCCAATCATTCTTAGAATTCTCCAAGACAAACTCCGCCTAATTAGGACAACTGACAGTCTTCCAGAGTCCGCCATCAAGCTGTATCAGGCATTCACTCTTACCACCACCAAAATCGCCACTCACAAACACTATAAGGTATTCAGCATCGATTGGGACAACTGGTAATAAGTTTCAACGGACCCACTAATACTGCGGCGTACGCTGCAGTGGTCGCAAAAACCTCTGCTCGCCTGGCGTTGGTACAAAGCCCAACACTCATCGCGAACAGTAATGTGTACAAGGCTAGCAATCCTAGCTTTGCTTTTGGATTAATCACGAAGTACAGGCTCGAAATTGCTCCAACAAGGAGGATCGCGGCAAGAACCATGCTTATTGCAGCTACGACTCGAGCGACGTGTGTGTCTTTGTACACTGTTGCTCTATCAATCGTATCATCTGACTGACTTTTGGTGAAGAGCCAATGGTTCCTTAG